AACCTTTGCCAGACCCTGGTCCAGAGGTCCGTGGCCATTTGGTTAGGAAAATGAAAATGTATCAGAAAAACCTCTACGTTAGTAGCGAGAAGAAGGATTATATATATGATACTCAAGAACGTAGATGGGACGTTACAGAGGCACTCTTAGATTGCAGTTGGTGTGTGATAGAGAAAGTACGCTACATTTATTATAACAAAAACTGCTGGTGGCTTGACACAAAGTCTAAAGAGTGGAGATCGATCAAAGGTTTGGATTTTCTAAATAAGTTCCGTGAAACAGATAGGGTTGAAATAGTTAACTTTGGTGGGAAACTCGTAATAGTATGGGACAGATTTACGCTATCTAAACGAAACAAGAAAATTTGGTGTGCGATGATTGCGCTTGAAAAGTCTCATGGAGGTGAAGAAATTTGGGGCAAGATTGAATGGATTGATGATGTGCTTATGGTCCCTTTATCATATACTTTCTTGGATTGTATGGTCATATCCATATGAAAAATGTTCTGTTTTCGCTTTGATCGTCGTCGATCCTTTTGTTCAATTTGGTTTTAAGTCTTAAATAATACTCTACTAGATATAAGCTGATTAATTTTCTTCTACCAATAATTAAATTCATTATTTTATTTTTTCATCATTGAACATTTTTCTTTAACTTGAATGGGTCAAGTTTTACTAACTATATTCGTCAAAACCTTAAATCGAGCAAGATTACGATTTGTATGAATCGAAACAGATCAAGCAAGTTTGTCGGTTTTTTTTTTTTCGCCAGCAAGTTTGTCTTATTTATTTCTTTCTAGTTCCTGAAAAGGGTTTCTGAGCGATGTGGGATATAAAAACTTTTGCCTATCCATCTAAGGATTTAAGTGGGACTCTAAAGACAGGCCCGTTATAAGCCCATTAATATCCGGTTTTTAAAACGAAGTCTATAAGCCCATTAATATTTATTTTTAAAAGATTTTGCTCATTTAGAAAGCTCCTTTTCTTTCGCTCATTTAGAAAGCTAATAACGTGGAAAGACTATTTTACTCATAATTTTTTATTCGTATTCAATATTTGCCAAACCCGGTTCGAAACCAGTGGTTGGTAATATCGGTTAAAAACAAGATACAAATAAATTAAGACCAATCACCAATACAAACTTGTAATCCTAAACCTCCACATGGTCTCGTTGGAACCCATGCCTTAATTTGAGTTTCTTTAAATGGTTCTTGTACTTCCTTAGCACTTAGCAGCCGTGTTTAAAAAACATATACTTTATTTTAGTTTTAAAGCCGATCATCATCATCCACTAAAAATCATTTGGACTTTGTTAAAAATAATCTAAATACAACAAAATTTCCTAGCTTTAAGAAGTGTCAGAGAGGATTGCTCAAGTAAAAGATCGACACATAAGTTTTGTTCCCTATAATGAGGGCATCTGAGTCACATGCCTCCACATGCCACCAAAGAGTTTGGAACTCCCCATACTCATTATTACATATACACTTACATATATGGATGTGGCTGCGTATATGATGATGAACACATCCTTCAGAGAACACGTGTTAGAAATTCATTGATAAAACACCTTAAGATGATTCACCAAAAAGGGGATCTTGGTCATGTGAACTGTTCCATGACATTTTTACAAATACATATTAAAAAGATTTATTAATGTGGAGACCATAGTTACATAGATTATTGAGTTTAAGATGTCGCCTTGCTGGTCTTGTATTAATTAATTGAAGGGCCTTAAAAATCATTTCATTCGCGTTTGTTATTTGAAAATATATATTTTTTCAGATAAAAACTAATTAAATATTATAGTTTTATTTGAATAATAATATTCTGTTTAAAACATGTAAATGCAAGCAAGTACCTATACAGAAAATAAACAAAATAAAACCTTTTTAAAAAGAGTTTTGCCTCGGGTCATTAGAAACGTAGTCCCAGGTTTGCGCAAACATTATTGTTATATGGAAATGTATGGCCGGATTTTCAATTTATACGAGGAAGTCAAGCACGTTAAACTTGAATATGCGTTCACATTCACTTGATGCCAAACTCAAATTTCAAAGAAGACATGCATTATTTATGTTTTTTTAACTATTTTCAGACTTCTCGTAGGAATGGATCTTTTAAAATTGACCTACATGGGCTATATATATATAAAAAGGGTCTACGAACTTGAAAACTTACGGCGACCAATAATTGGTTGGATGCTTCTATTATTGTGCTTATATGTTCTATAAAATTTATTCGGCCAATAATTGGAGCGTAAAGTATTTTTATTCTTTTAAAAAGACAATTGGAGAAACTAAAGTTATAAAAGTTAAATGATAGAGAATCTCTCTCTCACTTTTTCTGGTGGATTCCAACTCTTCGGTTGTAACTTTTGCTTTCCAACAAATTCTAAGAAATTGTTTAGTTAATACTTAATACACGTCTTTTCCCTTCGTTTAAAACCCTAACCCGATTAAAGAAAATGCTAAGTTACAGAAGAAGAAAGAATTACACCAAATCTTAGTTTGAATATCTCTTTAACAAAAAAAAAAAGCAATCTTAGTTTGATTTAGTGGATCATATGTATAATGTAAAGAACAGAATAATATCTTCTCGTCAACGTGAGGTTTCCAAATTATCAATCGGATTTTTCTTTATTTTTGTTGATTTGTACGTCTGTCGGTTACGCATAGGCCGACTCAGTTTAGCAAATTGACTAACCGTTTGCCAACACATTTCCATCTTTCACCAATTTACTACTTGATCTGTCTCTAAGAAATAGAGATAGCTTGAATTTGTCGACGAAAGTGGTAACAAGTGATTTAGTGGATTTTCAAGATGGTTTCCGGATGAGATATATAAGATTTCATCGTGAGATCCCAAATTCGTTAACTCGCATGTTTTTGTTATGGTTTAAATTAACTCAACGCTTATTAAATTTGAAACTTTTGTAAAATGATTAGTGGAATTCGAAAGTATATCTTACCTATATGAATCTGCATTTATCGAACTATTTGCCAACGACTCTATGTTCACAAGGGGTTGTGAGGCCTATGATTCTATGAAAGATTCGGATCTAGAGCTGATTCCTTCATTAAGAAAACAAATTTATCTAGAGCTGGTTCATTGAATAATTTGAATATGAAGGAAATAGTATAGGGAAAATAGATTTTTTAAAAGATAGTGATTAGCACGTGTCGATAGTCGTGTCGTGTGATTGGGAAACCTTAGACAAGCTTCATATTTCACGGGCCAATTGACTTTGGAATTTCCATTTTACTCTATAGCATAGGAGGCACCCGAAGAACTTAGGGTTGTTAAAAATACATACCTACATATTCATATAACTTAATATCCTCTTCAATAATAACTTTCGAGCATTAACAATATTTAAACAGCATAATAATTTTAGCTATAAATAAATACGCCACCAAATCTTACAATGATCTTCTTGTGGCATGTCGGGAGAAATGGGTGAAGTAACATTGATGGTTTGTTCAAAAGTAGACAGCTAATAACGTGGAAAGACTAAAACCCTACTATAATTAAAGCCTAACTAACGATAATGAATTATCTAATTCTTTTTAATCGCTAATACGTACTGTATTTACTTCATTGTCTCTCATGCTCTATAAAAACATAGTCCTACACACTTGTAGATAATTAAGTCCACGTCTAGGATATGAGAAGTCAATCAAGTTGGTATTTAAAACAGATTAAATCATTATATTAGACCTAGTTGTGTGTTTTTTTTCACATTATTGTTATGTGGAAAAGATTGAAAAGTCTTTATTTGCATCTTTTTATGAGTCAAAATATTGAATTGACTGATCACATGGGATTGTGACCCTAACAATCAAATATTCAAGTCTAGATTGTCTACATGCTAAAAAATTAGGGAAAGTATCATAAAACTTCTGCCAATAAATTCAGATACTTGACCTTTTAAAACCTACAGTGCTATGTTATAGTATATAACCGAGTAATTGTGTTGTAGTATGTAACAATCCAACGCTTATACAACTTCAGCCGTTAGTAAATATTGATTTTTACTGACATTCCATTGTTAGAATTCTTCATCAAAATTGATATTTAACAATGCTGTGATGAACCAAAAAAAAAAAAAAAAAGTATGTAACAATGCATAACAGAATTATTTTTTCCAATATCGTTTCAGCTTTTAGAAAAACAACAAAATATGGAAAGCGAAAGTGAAATTTTAATATACTAAATTTTTTTGTTTAGCTTACCCAAATCCAACTTTGAATATAACCCCCCTAAGATCAAATGATCAAAGTGTACTTCGTGAATATATCATCACACCTATATATGCTCTATTTTTTATATTTAAAACCTCTGCATTTAATGACCAGAAGGAAAAAAAAATATGTGAACCAGGTCTTGATATACACAAATTGTTGAACATTGACTTCAAAGTGTATATAGTTGTATTGTCAGAGAGATTCTCTTTGTGGTGCTCTTTTCTTGGGATATCTAAGACTAAGACAAATAATGTTATTATGTTACATAAGATTCCATCCAAAGATAATTGGTTACGTATAATCAGGCGTTTATTTTCTCTTTTTACATAAACAATGTAGTTAAGCCCTTAATAAAATAAGCTTAGAAGCAAAGATCCGATCATAGGTCGAGTCTGTTTGACGCTATCTTCCCACCCAAGTTTTGCCTCATAGAATATTCCATTTTTTCATATTTTCCGAAAGTAAAATAAAATAAAAGATTCCTTCTTCTTTGCAAATAGATTCCACACGATGAGCTTAGCTTTAAGATTCTATTGTTTTGTTGGGATAGCTTTTAAGATTCTATTTTCTGAGAAAATTTGTATTATAAGTAATAATCTAAACAAATTAAAGGTTGCCAAACTTGCATGGTACAATCTTTTTTTTTTCTTCTGGTCATCTGTTTTTGTATTAAAATCGAAAAGGGAACCAAGAGTTAAATATAGAAGAACCATATATGATTGATATAATATAAATATATATAATATTTTTTGAGAATGGATCTACAATTTTCTTATAAACATTTTACATATGCGTTGAGTACAATCAGAGTAGGAAAAGGAAAAATAAAATTAACAAGTTACTAAAAAGAAAAGATTCTTCGGTACTTATAGCTCTCATTATGCTCCAGATCTCAATTGTTTCCATTCCACTAAACGTTGCAAGAACTCCATAACCTGTTAATAATTAAGAAAATGTATAGTATTATCAGCATAGTACAATGGACATATATAACAACAATTCTAAAATGGGAAGTTTCTAATTTAGATCGAAGTTGTCCTTGTCTTGATCAATTTACCTCATCGGGTTCTTGCAGTGAATAAGACGCGCTAGTCTCCTTTGGAAATTTAGATACAAGAATGCCAAGACCTTGTCTTCTTTCTCTCAATATCTGTAACATCAATTAAATCAATTTTACTTAGATAATTGAACATTAATTATTTAATTTTAATTTAATAACAATTACTAAATTCTATATATACCTTAAATGCATCTTCGTCTGTGCGATCATCTCCGATATAAAGAGGGAACACGTCGGTACAATTAGCGTATCCTACACAATCCAATACTAATTTTAATTAATACTATTGATCTTAATTATTTTACTCTTAATTGATTAGTTAGTTGAGGAATATATTACCAAGTGACTCTAATAAAAACTCGAGTGCTTTGCCTTTATCCCATTTAATAATAGGACGAACTTCCAAAACCTGAATGATTATACCAGAATAAAAACCCGTTAGTAAAATAAACACTAGTGACCTTAATTAAACTATAATCTAATCATCAATAGTATATCTTACTTTTCTTCCTTGAGTAAGACGGAGCTTAGGGTAGTCCTTCATTACTGATCGAACTTGGTTAGCCAAATCACTCCAGTTCTGTCGATATAAATAAATAAACTAAATCGTTACTTTTATTTTAAATATATGAGTAGTCGGATATTAAAAAAAAGTATTATCGTACATTTTCATCGACACGTCGGAAGTGAACCGAGACACAAAATTTATTGTTCTCTACTTGGGCTCCGGGAGTAAATTTTGTTTTCTCCACTAATTTTTTATAAACCTGAACAAAAAAATATTTAAAATAAATATAAGTAACAAGAAAATAGTTTTTTTTTTCCTTCTTAATTATAACTATATGAATATATGAGACTGAGTTATGAAGGAGAATGTGACCTCGTCGATCATGGGGAGGAACTCTGTAGCTGGTTGGCAAAGAAGAGATTTACTATCCTGTAAAGTTTTATAATAACAATCAAAAACGAGGAAAACAAATTGGATATTTTTTCTACTTTTCAGTTTTCAAAGATTTATTTACGTAAAAAGTAAAGAAAAACAAATCTTACTTCCTCAAATTTGGACCCTTGCTCTGGTCCTTTGATGTCCATTCCATGACTTCCAGCATAGTACAACTCAGTTAGTTTCACAAAATTATAAACCTGAAAAGTTGTCAAAACTATCATAATTAGCTTCAATATTTAATCACTACTAATTAAATCATTCATTTAAATTTGAATATACCTTTTCTCTGCATCTCCCACTAACTATGGCCGTCGGGAAACAGTTTGCTAGTTTCCTCACAGTTCTTCTCATCTAAAAATCAGACCAGAAAAAAAAGAATATGTAAGCAAAAAAAATTGGAGTAAGTAGATTTCTTTATTGTATTATGATATATATTTTTGGAAATGAACCTTCTTAGACATGAAAGCTCGGTCTGGATCATCAACAATGGGAGATAAAGTGCCATCATAATCCAAGAACATAACGATTTGTTTTCCTTGAGAAAGGTGAAGAATCTCTTCAAACATATCCAAAGCTGATGGATGTTCTGTCTGCGAAATTATACACTCCATTTATTATAAGAGAAAAGAAAAATAGATATGTAAGTAGAAACTAGAGCTTGATCAAATGATGATAGACGTACGAGCCAAGAGCTTTGTTTCAACAAAGATTTAAGGTGAGTAGGAGAACAAGCTCTCATTGAATCAACCCATGAATTGATTAATCCTCCTCCATTGTTGATACTAAGATCTTGAAGAACTTTCTTCTTCGTTGTTGTTACATCGTTGTTTGATTTGTTTCCTGTTTCTTTTTCCACAAGTTTCGTGTTTTCTTCTATGAATCTTACTGAAAATAACAGAAAACAAGATAAGCATATGTAAATAAATATACAAACTTGAGTGTGTGTATTAGTCTAAGAAACTCTTAACAATTTACCCATTTTTTTTTGTAAATGTGAGTCGAAAGAGATTATAGAGTTGTGAAAACAGAGTGAGAAATGAGTGTGTGGGCTTGGAGAGAGACAGGGACTGAGGTTGTGGTATGGTCTGAATTTATAGAGTTGCAAATTATTATAGGAAAATAAAAAGTTTTTTTTCAGCTTTATTTTTTGGGCAACATTTTAACTTAAACAAAAAAAGGAAAAAGGAAAATCAGATATTGTGTGTGTCCGAACGCTGGAACCCATTGACTGTGGGCCCTACTATATGGTTAATGGGCCCCACAAAGCGGCTTTCCCGCTCACACCGATCGTTTTAAAGTTTGCAGCGTTCCCAGCAACCGCCACGTGGTCCCCCTCCTTTAACACCACCATATGCTCCTTTCTTTTCCCCTCTTGCTCCTAATTTTGTTTTTTATATATAAGAATATATAATCTCACGAATTCAATAAATAATTATTCATAAGAACAAAATCCCATGCTCTATAACATGGTTCCACAACTGTAAAATTTCAAAGTAATTTGAAGGATTTTTTGTTTTTAAAATCATCACGTTAGTTCATTATTTTAACGGTTACGGATTAAGAATTTAGAATTGTATCAGCCAATCATGCTCCTAACATGTATAATTTTATAATACGCCAAAAGTTTCTCGTTACTGCATCGAACATTTCCTTTTTATATCTGTATTATTTCCTTGTAGCTCTATAAGCTAAAACTGTTGAAATTTATTAAATGCCACGTGGCTTAGTAGCTCATCACTGACAAATATTATTCCTCAGAGTTCGAGCCACGGTTGTGTGCAAAGTCATTCACGTTTTATTCACTCACGAGTTTCGATTCAATAATTAATCCGTCAGATATACATGCATTGTTCGAAGACTCCCTCCAATAAGATCAGAGTCTCGAACGGAATTTAACTACATGCTTTATAACTCAATGACTAATGACTTAATTCCATTTTCACTTCTTCTTTGATTGTCCATTTACCTGAACCATTTTATGTGAAATTTGCCACACATGTCATTTTCATGACTCGTTGGCGGGGTTTTGTTCTCATCATACTCCAGAATCTCAGATGCTCAAAATCTCATAGAAGCTTCTACTGCTGATGTAGAAAACATCGATGTATATGCATGCATCATGATTTAATTACGAGATTTAGAAGAATTTGAATAGGATTCTTAGTAACTTCTATGAGAAGGAAACCTTATTTAAAAAAAGGAAACGTGATTATGGGACTAAAATAGTCTAAAATTATTCTTATGACCACTACTTTCAGATATAGTTCGATTTACATTTGATTGAAGCTTATTTCTTATTATTTTTTGGATATGGAAAATATAGAAACATATCACCTTTTGTTATTACTTATGGCTAGTCCACGGAACCTAAATCAAGTCCAGTAACAATTTTTTCATATATGATTGAACCAACCATACTTTAATCTTTTTATTTTTTCTTACTTTTAGTTTCGTAGCTTTGTGATTTCTCAACCAATTATCTCTTCATGTACATATGCGTCCATGGCATGACATTAAGGCAAGGTTCAAAGCAAAATTCCGAACCGACACCTCACGTGTTGTAACGAATCAAGAGTGTCTCTACCTAACATGTGGAACCCTACGAGGCATAATAGTATCATATGCAAATAATTGTCCGCATCACGTTAATCCCGTTTATCGAGTCCTTAGTTACGTGTGATTAATTTAAGCTGCTGATGGGCTAATTACGCTTGGCCAAAGTTTGTATAAAGAAACATGTCAAGATCATAAATTCACATATATACATAGAGTAGCTCATAGTAAAGCTAGAAAAGTGTAATGAAAATTAATTACCGATGGCGATATGTAAGATTAATAAGTTTCATGCTAACGATTGAAATCATCCTCAATTATCATCGATTCCTTTTTCAATAAGTTAGCACTTTAAGAAAATCAAGCATATTTTCGTACGTATGAGACATGTTAATATTCTTTGACCATATATCACATTCACATGACCATTTTGGATGCGACGAGCTCTTATTGTAAACCACCAAATGAGTAAATTCGAGGACTGTGCACTTTATGGAAGCAAAAGAAAAAGCTGAGTATAATTAAAATCCTGTCCACAGTACAAATATAATGAAAAAAAAAAATCCTAATTTTAATATCTACTTTTTTTTCTTTTTGGCCAAAACTAAAGAAAGAAAAAAAAAAGAAAGAAAGAAGTCAATGGCTTTGTTGACTAAACTGCTAACGGCAACCGTTTCTCCAAACTCTTAGGCATATATGGGGAGATTGGTGGGTCCTAAGCGTGCAACCTCGACCAGAGTTTTGCCATGTCAGCCATTACCTTAATTCGGTTAACTCGACAAAAGGCGACTTGTTTTTTAAAAAAAAAAAAAATTGCAAATCTTTTATTTTCTATGTGTATTTTTCTATTTTATTTACTGATTCGTTCGAGTCTTTATAATTTGTAGTATTTGGAGAAAAGGACGAGTAACAAGAGGAAACCTAAATTGATACATAATAGATGTGGATATAGTTTTTAAATATTTAATAACAAAAGTTAATTAAACGTCCAATAAAAAAAAGATATTTCTTGTGACATATTATGAAAATATTTATTTTTTCATGCTTTTAAGACCATGATTAATGGCAGGTTCTTAAGAAAATCTTAAGCTGGATCTTAGCAATAAATAATTAAAATTAAATCCCACTTAAGCTATTATTGCTAAGAGAGTGTCTTAGCTAAGCAACAAAAACATAGTTAAGATCCATATTTTACAAATGTATTATTTAAATATTCCTAAGATTTATTTTTAAGACACTATGGATAATCATGCTCTAATAACCTAGACACGGCCATGTCTTAGATGCAGATTCTCGTTCGACCATTTTCAAAGGAAAAATAAAAAGTTGATAGCCTTTAATTTTAAGAATATTAGTCGATCAATATATGGACGTCGTCTATGGAAGAAGAAAGGGTAATGATTCTTTTTGTCAAAACTATTTCACTATTCGATCAAGTTGCTCTCATATCTTGTAGGCTCTATATTTTCATTGTAGATATAAATTTATCTCTCATCCCAACCAACCAATTCCTCGAACTTGATACTCAGTAATACCTTTTTTAATCGTTTTCCTTTTGTAGAGTTGATCCACGCCTAATTATTACATGTATCTAACATAAACAATGTAACTTATTATGTGATATGGAGAATATTATAATCACATAGATACTATATGCCACGACTTTAACTAGATGTTGGGTTCTAATCTTAGCGTAATGATATGATTTTAGGCCAAAATGCCCCCAATCATTGAGAACTTTTCCATGATTTAGAAAAATATTAGTAAAGCAGAAGCTATTTAGCTACATGCAAATGTTTGATTACTTTTTACAATATATTTATGTAAAAATGTTTGTGAACAAATGCAGAAAAAATGTAGTTTAGGAGAAAATTTCATAAATCAAACATGAGTTACAGTTTGAACCATCACCACATAAAATAAAACAGAGTTCATAAGGTTTGTCGAGAACATTTCAGAAATGTTTGGGGGCTAAATTTGTAGTACATAGAAATCATCTTTAAAAAGATAAAGAAGCACGTTCTAACTTTAAAATCATCGATATCTATGAGTGTGTTAAAAGTAGAATGTCTTAGGTTACTCTTTATAATCTCCAAGAGTCGCCAAACTACAATGTGGGTGGCTTTTCTTTATATCTTCAAGGCCTTCAAGCCTTTAATGGACTGACACCTTTTCGATAATTAAAGCTATGAGATTGATATGATCTTCTTTTTAACATATCTGAAATGCAAAGATATATATTAATCATCGCAGCTTGTTTTCATGCGATGTGAGGTTCAATATACTAACCAAAATAAAAATAAAAAATGAAGTTCACTTTACTGTTTTTTTTCAGTGAATGAAATAACTTGGTGATAATTGTGACTCCACATGTGTGTAATCTATATACAGAGCCGGCCCGGAGGACAGGCCACCCAAGCGGTGGCTTGGGGCACCACAATTTTTTTTTTTTTTTTAAAAGGTTTTTTTTTTTTTTTTTTTTGTAAAAAAGGCCCAATTTTAGAAGAAAAAAAAGAATTAAGTCCATAAAATGAAAATATTTGGTAGAAACTAAAGCCTTTTTCGAAAAAAATAAATAAAATAGGGTCCAAACAATTAAATTTGAATGTAATAATATTCAAAATATCATTATTTTTGTATAATTTACTAAAAATAGGTCAAAAAAAAATTTTAGCCCTAAAACTTATAAATATATTGGGCCTCATTTTATTTTTCGTGTAGGGCCTCACAAATGCTCGGACCGGCACTGTCTATATATGACTATATGCGACATTTGTTTTGTTAAAGTTTTTTTGGTATGCGACATTGAATTAATAAGCTTGTTAAACGCGTAAATAAAATATAGAAACAAGTCATTGTGATATATATTGACATCTTTAATCACTAGAAAATAATTTTCGGAAGTGATCAATTAAACTATTCTAGTATGAGGGAAAAGATAAACTTTTCTAGATCGTGTGTATAAATTGGAATCGCTCGAGGATCTGAACGGAAACTAGTTGGATCGATTGTGACATTCGTAAAGAATCAGAATGGATCATAGTAAGCTTCGCGTTGGAGTTTTTCACTTTCGACGTGTCTTGCATTAATATTAACCCTAAGCTCTCTCATTTTTGTTCTTTTATGATTAAATATGTAAGGAAAAAACATTAATCTTTATCTAATTCGACACATAAAGTTGATGTATCCTCTAATCTTCTCTTTTCCCTATTCGACCAAGCACGTGCCCTTCTCCATCACATAAATATGTATTATAAACACTTTAAATTATTTATATATACACATATTACAAACACTTACGTTTAAAGTTTGACGTGTATATACGTCAAATATCTCTATAAATCTACATCGTGATTAAAAAAAATGCTCTAAATTCAAAAAATAAATTGCCAAACTAAAATCCCAACTAGACCATATCAGATGGGCCGATCGATGTAATTCTTTTCCATGAATCTCTCTCTGTTAAGATATTTTTCTCCGGTTATGATTCTCTGACAGCTTATCGGGCTTGGTTTTAAATCGAATCAGTGAGAAATGAGCACATTTCATAAGCTCAACGCAGCATCAATTCCGGTTCGAGTGCTTTACTCCACCGTGAAGTACCAACTCTTTCCGGCCCAATGGACTTAAAAGGCCTGTTATCAAATATCAAGACTTGTAAATGTAGACAAAGAATTAGGGCTTTGTGGTGAATTAGACGTTTTTGCAGATAGATCTGGTTTTGGTTTTTGTCATAGTTGGGCTAGAGTCGTTAGACTAAAACTTTGAAGTTCAGAAAAGCAAAATTACACGTTAGATCTGCTAGTTAGACGGTTTAGATTTATATCAACCATATCATTTTGTTTTGTATTTAATGGTTATTCATACGAGTCATTTAGTCACTATCACCAATGGAGTAAGATATAACCCTGAACTAGAGAGTTCTATATCTTCTCTATTGTTCAGTAAGTTCACCTAAAATCCTTAATTTTATTAAGTATATATGATAAGCAAATGATTTAGAATATTCACTTTATTTTATTACTATAGTATGTTAGTATTTTTGCAACTATAATTAACCCTAATATCAAATTAGTCTATTCAAAGTATATACATGCCATGATGCCAATAGAAGTTTTTAAAAAGAATCAAACGTTTCCGATTTAATTTTTAATAATATTAATTCCACAAACATCCATTACAACTTTTGGAAGTATGAACACTGTCTTTACGTGCTGAAAGAAAAGAATCAGAATATTGGATAAGGCTGCTTTGTCTATTTTTCTAAATATATGTATTTTTATAATATTTGAGTAGTTTTTATAGTGTTATGTGTAATGTAAGTTTTAAATCTTTGCCATAATTGTTGGTTATTGTAAGATTCTTTACCGCATCGAACTTTGTGGCTTATTAAAAAAAAAAAAAAAAAAAAAAACTTTGTGGCTTATGTGTTCCCATATGTCAACAACGGACCCCTCTCTGGCCCTCTATCGTCCACAATACACACAAATACAGCATAAGTTATTTAAATCATCGCCGGAATAAAGTTCAATAATTACTTTATTCGAATTTTTCTTTTTCTTTTTGGAATTTACTCGGCAGGAACACATTTCCAAATCTCTCCGATTGATATCCTTTGACAGAGATCAACAATTATCTTTCCGCAAGTAACTAAAAAGTTTAATAAATTAATATATACACTTTATCAGCATGCAAACCTTATTCTCTAATGACCAAAAAACTATAACCAACAAATCAAATATCAAATAGATTAGAAGAAAAAAGACTAATAATTTACATTTTCTTCATTACAAATTTTAAGATAAGATAATACATGGAAACTTCTCCGATTGGTCAATGACTAAGGTTTTTGAAAGAAAAAAACGAAGACAAAAACCAGTCAGACCAAAACATAGAGGAAGATTTCAACAGAAACAAACCCTAGAGACGATTCTCTCATCAACTGTTAAAAATTTCAGTTGCAGAGATTAATATAAGACATCATCAGACACTGAAATAGAAAAGACAAACTCCTAAAAGAAAATAAAATAAAAAGTCTTGTCTTCTTTGTTTGGTTTAAGATTCAGACAATTTGCTAATCGCATCCCAATCAATCTCCACAGAAGGAAACTTCTCCAAACCGAAACTCCCAATCTCATCAAACCCCGAATCCGAGAAATCCAAGAACGTAGTAATACCCGATTCCGGCGATGAAGATTCAACCTGAGACTCATCTGAAAACGAATTCTCATCAGATCTCAAGAACCCATATTCACTTTCTTGATACTCTGTTTTTGGCGGGAAAAGCTCTGTTTCAGAACAGGGGAGATCAACATCCTCTGTTTTTCCCATGCTCTGACAAATCGCTTGGAGCTTTGCGTCAACAGAGGAATGAAGAGGATTGAAGCAGCTACCTCCTCCGTAGTATCCATCCTCGTGTCTGAATTGTGGGAAATTAAGCCTCGCGAACTCGCCTCGTAGCTTGTAAGCAGCTAGATCATAAGCCATGGCTGCTTCTTCAGCTGTGTCGAAAGTTCCAAGCCAGAGTCGGGTCCTGTTCTTGGGTAAACGGATCTCAGCTACCCATTTTCCCCAGTGCCTTTGTCTAACTCCTCTATAAAGTTTCTGAGTGGCCATGTTCTTCATTGGGACTGGCTTTGGGGCAAGATTTGGAGAGATTATGTTACGTCTCTGGTTGATCTGGTTTTGGATTTGGTGGATTTGGTAAGGTGTGAGTTGGTTTAGACCAAGAGGTGTGGTTTGATTGAAACCGAAGACTGTGTTTGAATACGGAGATGGAGAAGAAGAAAAAGAAGAAGAAACAGTGTTGGTGGTATAAGGTTGAAGTGCTTTCATGAGCTCTTCTTGAAAAGGATCTGAGAAATCTGTGTTGCTATTGAACATATCTATGGCTGCCATGGATCTTGAAGGAGAGACTTTTTGAAAGACTAGGAAAAAAAGAAAAGTAACAGAGAGGGATTAAAAACACACCCTCTTAGTTGATTGAATCAAAATCTATGAAGAACAAGAAAAAGGAAGAGATTGTTCTGAGAAGTGGGTTAAATAGATCAAAATGAAAACTTTTAGGGTTGAAATGAGGAATTATATAAAGTTTTTTTTTGGCTCTCTCTCTAATTTTTTTTTTGTCGCTCTTGGTTTCGCTTGATGCGGAGTTCTTTGCTTATATAACCCGAGAGTTAGCCGCCTGTTGAAATCATAATAATTTTTTTAATTATATAAATTTATCCAGTAGAATGTTTAATTAAATATATACTTTGTATACATTTTGGTAGATGCTTTTGTTCTATTCACAAATTTGTTTATCGTCAGCTTGATAAAAATCTTTTATTCCATGGAGGCTTAGACAAATGGAAAACGACGTTCACATATTCCTTGGATCTACGCCGTTCCCAGGGAATATTTGGATATAATACGACTTTATGGTGTGTGTGTGTGTGACATAAAAATCATCTATCATGGTTATAAAAGCTTTCTAAATTTTACAAAAATTCACAGCTCAAATTTTCAGAAGAAAAATCATAAATATATTAGCTCGCAATAATTTTAAATATCAATTTAACTTTCTAATTGTGTTTATTAAGGATAAATTGATATTTATTTGTGAAGAGCATATTATAGTTTTTTTTTTTGTTTAACAAGCATATTATAGTTGTAACAAAAGAAAAAAAGAGCATGTTATTGTTTAATTAGGTTTACACACCAAAAAGACGGTATATATTTCTTTAACTTCCCATATGATCTTTGACTCTATTTTGGAGCTATTTTCAACAAAATCGCCGAAATAGAATCTTCTAAGCAATAATTTCAAAAATCGTAAGAGCCAAAAGTGATATTATTGTTGATTCTACGGCAAGTTGAAAGGCCAGTTTGCCTTCTTACCACTTATTTTCTTGTGCCAAAATATAATTTTATTTTCTTATAAAATAATTTCTATTTTACTCATGTGAATTAGAAGGATTAAACCAAAAAAAAAAAAAAAAAAAACTAGAAGGAAAATAAGGCATGGAATCATTATATAATATATATTCATGCAAACAAAAAGAAGAAATTGCAGCAATATAAAACATGAGAATATTGGTGGTCATACAAATATTCCCAATTCCTTACGTGGTCCATTTTCAGAAAATTTTATTGAGTATACCGCATAGAATGTAAAAGTGGGGGAATATGTAAAATTAATAAATTAAAGGGGTTAGTTTGTAAGCAATAAAAATAGTGGGAGAAAGTCAAGAAAGCTATTGGAGAAGAAAGGAAAGAGGTGAGAACTCAAAGGCGGTTAAAGTTTGCGTCACAAGGAAGCTAGTGGATCTTCTTCACCTTTTTTAAGTTCCTTTTGAGTATTTTGACGATTTAAAAATTCAATATTCTTCGACATATTATGTGAAATTCTTTTGTGTTTACTTTGAATTTTGTAGAAAAGAGAGAAATTGTATAATGATATTTTCCTACTAATAATGGCAAGAGTAGTATATTGTTTCATATTAAACAAAATGAGGTAGACACGTTTCAGATGATGGATATATTTTTGTTTTCGTATATATTATTTTAGTGTTTTACATTGGTCATTTTTAACATGTTTATAATTCATTTACAAAATATTAATATGAAGTGAAGGTTTTAAGGATTGCAATCAATATAATCATGCGCTAAATTTCATTTCTCATTCCACTCCATATTTTTTTCTTTCTTACACCTACAAGTAGCATTTTTTCATTTACTTAATTTAAGTTATGTTTTTATATTCACAGATTTTCACCATAAATTATTGAAAATGGAAAGTTAGGTGACATAGAAAGCTTTACACGGATAAAGTACTACTTGCTTACTTGTATATTTGTTTACCCTCCACGTTTATTCCCCAAAAAAGACCATTAATTCCAACTTTAGGCATTTACTAGTGAAATTCATAACAATTTTGAGTATCCTTCCACGTAATGTATTCCCTTATTTTCTTACTAATTACTTATTTAGTAATTAGTACTATAAAATTAAATAAGATTCTTCGAACCGATATTACGCGGAAAAGCCAAACTAATTTAGAGAACAAGAAAATATGTGGGAGCCACTCTGGCGTGTTCACACGTAGGATCCTACGTGGAAGTCACTATCTCTCGGTTCTCTAAGACCTGCCAACTGACAGAAGAAGCTAAAGAACATATCTTTAGAAACTACTTTTGATCTCATCGTTAATCTATTTGGTAAGAAATTCATAACGTAGATTAGGAATAATTCTAAAGTTTTTGAGATAAACTCGATTACACGTCTTATAAAGTATTCGTTACATTATTAACTTTCAACATTTCTTTTAATTGTTGATGTTGAAGACCCACCCAATAGAGTTCTTATCAGAGTTCAAATATCGTAGAACAACCAAAATATCGAATCATTCAATTGTAAAAATGATTATGAAATTTGTATAATAGAAACAGTTATGTAAGATGAGCTCCAAACTATCAACATTAATGCTTTTTGTTTGGTTTTGAAAATTATTGAACATACAAAACAGTTTATATACTTTTTCTAACAATTTGAGATATAGATTTTGTAATACAAAATATTTAATGATTTCAACTAGTTCTCAATCCTTTCATAACACATATATATTAAAGTTTGGTTCTATGGAATTTTATATTCAGTTATCATCAATCATGAACGATAATTAAGCATAATTTTGTGGAAATTTAAAACTATATATAAGAACATTCAAACAAGCAAAAGTTTTATACAAGTAAGTTTTGATTGATTCTCTTAAACTGAGGCAATGGATCGAGTTTCGTTGCGGTTTTTCATTGGGTCCTCATTGACAACCGTAGTTTGTTGTATTTGAATTATCTTTTCGTTAAAAATGTATTTGATTATCATTATCTTATAATCATTATTTGCATCGCAGGACAACCTCAATTTCTCAATGAAATTAGTTAATCTCCAAGTCAACCCACAAAGTGGAAATAAATTAAATTTGTTATTGATATCGACAAGATCATGGTGATTTAGTGGTCACTTAACATACACGACACATTGAGTAATTATTATATAGCTTCGGATATTATTTTCAATTCAACGAAGTTGTTGACTTTAACAAATGTCAACTCTTCCTCCACAATTGGAGGTCAAGATAAGATCAATATAAAAGCTATATTCCCAGTGATCGAAATTGGGAATTTGTGACTACATTCTTTTCAAACCAAGATATTATCTGATCAAAACTTGTAGCTAAAACCAAAAAATTTCAATTTTTTGAGAAGATATTATCTCATCATAGCTTGTGAATTGTTTGTACAAAAAACCGTCTATAAACTAATAATCACTATAAATTAATAAAACCTTTCGAATCGGACAAGTTTAATATTTAACATAATTTGATAAAATAATAAAATAATAATTTGTTCGAAAGTACTATGTAATTGTATGGTTCCATTAGTATTATAAATTAATAATTGTATAAACTTATCAATATAATATATATATAAGAAAATTTAGTAAAATATGATTTTAGTATTGTTTGTTTTTCTTAAATATGCATTAATCTTTGGTAGAGTTCACTTATAATATATTATTAGATGGTCGATAATTATTTAAGATTTCTATCTTTTGACGTCCATAAAAGATTGTTAAGGTAATGATGCCCTTTTTTTTTATTTATTGCAGGAACTCTAGTGAGTACATTGTATAGTCATTATACCAATGTCAGATCTGTTCTTTTACACACAAGAAAACCTTCCATCATTGTCTCTACCTCTGAGGATAGAAGACCACGCTTTTGATGTGATAGTGGTTTGATCGTCTTCAAATTTGATAGAGAACATCCCGCCTTTGATGTGAGTGAAAATGACTTATTCTATGTGGGTGTATGATTTCTCTACACAAACACTAGAACAAGGTCCCTCTATTGTACATACTTCAGCAACCTGCTGGAACCCAAGTGTCTTGCAAATAGTAAATGATCAAACGATTTTTTTATTTATACAAATGTTAAAACAATTTAAAGTTATTTTTGTCTGTTTTAACCTGTGATTGAAGGTTTCTTTTATTTTGAAAAAAAAGTAATTTGTGTTAATTATGGTTGAATACTATTTGATGATCTAAATGATTAGAATACCCAACTCTTTCATAAATATCAGAATTATTAGTTTATGTTTTGAATTTTGGTCCCCACTTCAAAAAGTAAATGTGCTTAAATCTTTTACGACAAGTGAAATCAGTTGCAAAATAAAAAAGCTAATAATGTTCGTGTAGATTATCAGTAATAGTTAGTTAGTTAATCATAAAAGTTAGTTAATCATATCTGCTTTCACTGATTTTTATTCATTACTTTTCCTTTTTATAATTAAAAACCAAAAGTCAGTAATGAGAAATGGTTAAAGTTGAAGAGTTGGTGTTATATTTGGTTCATCGTAGAAAACTGGTATTGAGTCTATTCGTAAAATCCGTATAATAACATTTACTCTTGGGAAAAATTAAGATGTTATGGTACGTCGATTAGGAAAAAATGACTGGAGGTTGCTTCATCATAATTACATTAATACCCCTCCTCCGAATTTTTCAATACTTACTTACTGGTCCATCGCAGTTAGAAATTATTATTAGTGTAAGCAACTCTAGCTGCTTCACTTTTCATCTTTACATCTTCATACATTTTCAAAGAAGCTTCTGAAAACTTTTTCAATCTCTCTAGAAGCTTCGCCAAACTCGAATGCACACTCGACAAATCCGAAACCAACACCGAACCGCTTTTTTCTTCCCCCAACATCTCCATATCCAAGGAAAACCCCTTGATTGACCCGCTAAGTTCATCAGACGGCAGTGTTTTCATCCCAGCAGACCAGTCCCTACACAGAACGAATATCGGTGGAGCCAGGACACGGCGAGGGGACCACGGTCTTCGGTTTCTTAAAGAGGAACGTTCTTGAGGGAGCAAGACACAGTTGTGAAGCCAACCATTGACAGCTTCCACGTAACAAGTCATACTGTTAACCAAATCTACAAAGCTTAGACCAAAACACTCTGTTTCTTCTAGAAGTTCTGACAAAATCCGTCTCTTGAGCGCGTTCTCGGGTGCTGTTTTGGAGGAATTTCGACAATGGTAAGCCAATGAAATGGTGATGTACTGTGAATGATGACATTCAAGCATTGCTTTCCACATTCTTATCAACCTAAAGAGAGAAGAAAAGATCAATCAACGAGTCTAAATCCAAAAGTTAAAAAGACATTTGGTTACTATATACCCTTGGAGAAACTCTAAGAGCTGTGGCTGGAGCTCATCGTCTCTGATTCTCTCAATCCGCTTAGATATCGAATCAACAGATTGAATCGCGACTCTGATTCTTGAATGAAGATCTTTAGCAGCTGCTCTTGTTTTATCCATCGATTTCGCGCTGTGATCCTTTGCAAATTGGTTCCTTAGCTGCTCGCATTTTCGATCATACTCTTTCCTAATCATCTCACTCGCCTGCAGATAAAAAAAACAAATGAGATGTGAACTTCATTGAGCACAACACCAAACTACAAAGAGTCATGACCTCGGATTTTTTACCTTGACTTCATCATAGAGTTTTCTCTCCCAAGCATATAATCGATCAAGCGAAGAAGAGTGACTTCCTGAGATCATACAAAACTCTTCGATGAAATCACTTCCACTTTCATCATCATGATCTTCTTTCGTTGTCTGGATCAACGGATTTCTAGATGTCGAGGATCTTGAAGACGATGTTCTCTTCCACACAATGACTTTAGTAACTTGATGACTCAATGGCTCTACATTAAAGCTTTTTAATCAGAGACACTAAACCCAAAATAGCAAAGACAGGTAATGATAAATCTTTACCTTGAGAAACTGGTGAATAACTCTTCCCTCTACAACAAGCCTGCTTCAAAGCTGCAAGAAACGCTATTGAACTTCCCTTTCCTGGTTCAGAGACATTGCAAGATTCAGTTTTCAAATCAACATCAATTTTACACAATGAAAACAGACCTCATACCTGTCATATCCGCGAATCCGACTCTGATTTTGTTAGCTTCAAGCATTCTTGAAACTTCTTTTCCAGATTCAGAAGCTCTAAAGAACTTATGCTCTATATCTTTCATACTTGACACAAAGTCTTTAGCTCTATGTGTGATAAACTCTGAAGGATCTTCTCTTTCACCATTTCCAGCTTCATCATCATCTTCAAAACTCTGTTTCCTCTGCTTTGTAATAAAACTCGAGTCTTGCAATGTCTCTGAACCAGATTTTGCTACATTCCTTTGACTAATCTTCTCTAATCCTGTAACTGCTGCATCACTATCAATCTCGGTTTGTTCACTTAGCCCTACAAATCTAAAGCTATCAAAATCGTCACTTGTGTCGAAATAGTCCCAAGAAGACGTCTCCGGTCGGCGAGGACGCGGCGGAGGATGAGAAAACGCCGGCATTGCCTCTTCCAATTCATCTTCACCGTCGCTCAGAGGGTTAATCGTGAAAGTCACAGCAGAATTAGCCGTCTCCGTCTTCATGTAGCTTAGATTCAAAAGGGGTTTAGGGTTAGGGTTTGGATTCGAGTTATGACTCAGTGGCGAGTCAACCGAATCGTCAGGGTAAGAGGAGTTATGAGAAGGAGATTTCTCAGGCTCAGTGGCGGTTAACGACGGAGATAATTCATCAGCCGTCTCCACCTCCGCGTATTGACGGAGACAAGCTCCGATGTTACGGAGTGAACGGATGTATGACACGTGTGCAGCGGCTAAAGCACATCTGGAATCCATAGCTTGTTTAACAAATCTCTTCCTTTCTTTACATAGATGAAGTGGCTCGTTCTTCTTCTTCATCGATGTTTTCGAGTTTGAACATCCCATTTTCTCCAATATCGAATGACCCATTATCGAAAACTAAATAAAAATCGAAACTTTGGATTTGTTATACCCTGAAATCTCTCACAGTGGTTACAAAACAGAACAACCTAAAGAACCCATTTTGAAAAGACAAAAGAAAATGACAAGTCTTGCTTGAGGTTTTGTTTTGTTTCCTTTAATGGCGGTTGTGAGAATTAAGAAGAACAGAGTGAGAAGTAGCTATCAACATGCGAAAAGGAGAGTAGTTGGGGAATCACTTAATGAATTTATAAGGAAGAATCCAAAATGCTTATTCAAGGAGAAATCTGAAAAAGGAGCTTTGATCAGACAAATCTTGATTCTTTTTTTGAACAAAATGGTGAGAGAGAAGAAACAGAGAGAGGGGTGTGGTGAAGTTTTGTCTTTGTTGCATCGTTTTACGAGAAGAAAATAAAATATTAGTAAAGAAAAAAGTGCAGAGATTTTAGTTCATTCCAATACAGATCATTTACTCCAAAAGCTGAGCTAGAAAAAAAAGAGTTAAAGCAGTGAGAAAATCCTAGCAGCAACAATTTGAGATTCTCTCTCTAGATACTACAAAATCTATGTTATGGTCTTTATTGAATATGAACATGAAAGCTACACACTTTGAATATTATTGTTTTCTTATCATTTATTAACTTGGGTAATTGGATTAGAAGTTAGTCAAGTTACTTAAGAATGGACCGAGCAGGGAAAGAGAGGGAGGGAAAACCAAGTCAAAGCTAACGTATCTATTCCGGTTTGATAAGTTTTGTGGTTTTCGATTTACACATTATTGGAATAATCTCGTTTCCTAGAATTTAAATCCTAAATTTGGTTTTTAAAACCACATAATCTATTGGTTAAAACCAGTGTTCTAAAAAGCGGTCTAGACGGTCGTCTAGGCTCCGACTAGGTGCTAGGCTCTCATGCGACGCCTAGATAACCGCCTTGACCGCCTAAAATTACATCGATTTTGTTTAATGTATTTTTTCAATTTCAATTAGAATTTTATTTATATATATAATTATAAATATTCATATATTGTTTAATATAAATATAAATAAACGTTTTATCTAGTTTTTGTTTATAATTTCATAATTGTTAGTTTTATATAGATATTTTATATAATTTTTATATATAATATCATATTTATAATGTTTTATATTATAAACGTTTAAACCGCCTAAAAAATCGCCTAGGCTCCGATTAGGCGTTCTAGGCGCTAGGCACTGGGTTCCCGCCCGCTTAGCGCCTAGCGCTTTCTTGAACACTGGTTAAAACAAAAAAAATTTATAATTTGGATAATCATTAAATCTTCCAAAGTCAAATCTAGTCATCTTCATGAAGATTAGATCCAGACTTTATAATTTAAGTTGTATAAAATTGTCTAGGATTATTGGACCAAGAAGCCAAAAAGAAACGTTTAGTTACAAATAGTTCGGTTTAAGTTTCGGTTAAGTCACTTCAATCTAATTGGGCCACCCAAGGGAGGGAACTCTTTTTTTTTTGGTAAAAGGGAGGGAACTCTTTTGTATGGAAAATCGTGTAATTGTGTTTGGGTTTGAGCAAATTGCTCCTGTTTAGTTTCGAGGGTCTCTCTAACGGCTCCTTGAAACGTGGGCTTTTTAGCCTATATCTTGACTTTATGATTTTATAAGTTTTCTTTAAGAATGTGACAAGGGACCAGAAAGAATGGAGGTTAACATTTCTTATAAGTGAGATATGGGCTATGGGAGAAAATTTGCATATTGTAAAAGATGGTATGGAGTAACTGTTTATTAAATTTCCGATGTGGGACTCAGTTTTTTTTAAAACATATTGGGCTTTTAAGTGTTATGGCGGCGGGAATATATGATTATCGGTCCTGTCGTAAGCCCATGTTTTAATCCTCTGCTTACACAATTTCGTTAACCCTAGAAATAAAACCTCCTCCGTCGCGCTCTCGTCGACCTTTTGAGGACTATATGCATATTTCAATAAATTTGAATCTAAGATAGTAGATTTACGGTGATTGTGAACATGATTTAGCAATTATACATCATGCAAACAAATTAGGTGAAGAAAAGAAGTGAGCGGACAATTGTAAATTGAAGTTTAACTTGTGAATAGTTTGTACAAAAAATCCTCTATAAATTAATAATCACTATAAATTAATAAAAAAAAATCGGTCTCGAGTCGGACTTTTTGTATATAAATTAATAATTTATATAGTGATTATTAATTTCATAAATATGCATTAATCCTTGGTAGAGTTCATTTGTAATATTTTACCACATGGTTGGTAATTATTTAAAATTCCTATCATTTCGCATCCATAAAAGATTGTTAAGTAACGAGGCTTTTTTTTTCATTGCAGGAACTCTGCTGATTACATTGAAATGCCATTGTAGCAATGTCACGTCTGTTCTTTTTCACACAAGAAAACCTCCCATCATTGTCTCTACCTCTAAGGATAGAAGGCCACAAGAACTGAACATCAGACTTCGCCTCGAGGCTCGAACATAGATTCTGGACACTAGCAGGACATGACAGTGGTTTGATCGTCTTCAAATTTGATAGGGAACATCCTGCTTTTGATGTGAGTGGAAATGACTTATTCTATGCCAACTATCTTTATTTGTGGGTGTATGATTTCTCAACACAAACCCTACAACAAGGTCCCTCTATTGGACGCGGCGGAGGGGCGGACGCTGTTGGTCACGGCGGACGCGTGGACGCTGTTGGTCACGGCGGAGGCGTGAACGTAAGTATATGAAACCCTATCCTCTGTTTCTTTTTCAAGAAGCGTCTTGGTTCTTGTTGGTTATTGAAAACTGGTTCTTTCTTCTTCGTTAGGGTGCTCGAGGCTTCCGTGTTAATGGCGGTGGCTTTAATCTAGGTGCCGGAGATGTGAATGAGGTAAGAGAGTTATTTTCTTCAATCTCGGTCAAATCTTTATCATTCTTTACACTAAATGTAGAAGGTTTAATCACTTCTTTTTTAGAGAGCTGTTGGACGCGGCGGTGGCGCGATCGCTGTCGGACGCGGCGGAGGCGCGAACGCTGTTGGGCGCGGCGGAGACGGTGGCGAGAACGCTGTTGGGCGTGGTGGAGGCGTGAACGTAAGTATATGAAACCCACCCTATCCTCTGTTTCTTTTTCAACAAGCCTCTTGGTTCTTGTTGGTTATTGAACCTCTGTTTTAATTTTTCAGGGAAATGTTGCTGCGAGAAGACCGTACAGAATCACCTATAGCTTGGCAGAGGCAGCGAAGCATCTCTCGGGATAGATTATCTATATGCCATTTAAGACAATTGTTTTCTTAGTTTTCAATTTTTAGGTTGTTTCAGTTTCCTGATTCATTCAGGTTCATCTTTTTTTTTTTTTTTTTTTTTTTTTTTTTTTTTCATTCAGGTTCATCTTTGTGTTTGAAAGAATAATGGTTTCCGAATTATGATTCTTGAGCTTAATGGTCAATGATGCAGCTATGAAATTGCTCTGTTTTGGATTTGTGATTATTGTTGAGCTCTTGTTCTATGCTGCAGCAAATTAAAGAGATGTGTGTTTTTGGATGCCAAAATATATATGATGTGTTGAGTACTAGAGGTTTAGTGTATTAGTAAACACAAAATGCAGAGCGAGGAACAGACTAAACAGTGGACTCCAGTTTTATTTTCTGCCCATTGGACGATGAAACACATATGGCAAAGCTAAAACTAAAAGCTGTAGACAAGTTGGGTACGAGTCTAATAAGGAATCAGGATAGATACGAGAGATAAATATGGGCAAGCTATAGTTTCAAATATCGTGATTAAGGAATCAGGATAGATAGTAGACAGTAAATTTGTAAATACCTGAGGATCTGTGGTTTCTTCTCCTCTCGTTGAAACAAAAAAACTATTGGAAGGATGTTTGGTGTTCACAGGCCAAATATCTGAAATTATTGGCCTACCAATAAAGACCTGAGGAATATATAATATATAATTGAATCTTTAATCATATCAAATAATTTTGTTCAAAAAAAAAAAAATCATATCAAATAAAAGTAAGCATTACAAGTAAATACGTACGTAGGCATGAATTAAATAATCCATAAACCATATGATTGCGTGTGTATTTAAACCGAGTGGCATGGTAACACACAATTCCCCTCTCCAAGCAACAATCTAAATTATAAAGAGAAAAATAAAAAAGTTTTTCTTTCTCTTTTTAGAAACAATAATATGTTGATAGGGAATCGACCACGGCCTCAAATGCAGAGAACAGCAAGCATAACGAGGATCACCATCGAGGTTGATGATGATCAGACCGCCGGCCAAGACTCTGACGTGGCTATGACGGTGGTTGACGGCGGAGATAATTACGACCAGCGATTCTTGGGGATGTTGTCGCCGGTAAATCACCGGAGGAACGAGAGAAAAGACGGTGGGAGATCATCACCGTCGTCGTTGTCCTCTTTTCTTGGAAACTGTGGATTTTGCAAACGCCGTTTAGCTCCGGGTCGTGATATTTACATGTACAAGTATGTTACATACTTTTTTCCTAATTATTTTTCATCTTTACAAGTCTTAATTTTTAAGATCTCAAATTTTATTTTTTTAATAGTAGGGCTTTAATTTTTTTTATTGTTAAAGGGTTTAGGGATTTAATGATTTTTATTCCTCTTTTTCTAATGCGTCACAAAGTAATATTGATATATTTGTCTGTAATGTAAATAAATTGTAGAGGGGACGCAGCGTTTTGTAGCATAGAATGCAGAGAACAGCAAATGGAGCACGACGAAGGCAAAACAAGAAACCGCGTCGTACTATCACCATCAAATTAAACATATGCATGGCTCAAATTTGCTATTACCCTATAAGTTTGTGTGTGTTTTAATTAACTTGAGATTGTTGTTGTTAATTATTAATTAGTATCATCATGTAAAATTAATCCGATCCTCAGAAAAAAAATTGAAATGAAACTATCTTTCATGTCCTGCATATTATTTTAGTTTCACACTTCCTTGTCTCTTTTATAAATCTGGGTTTATTTAGTTTGAAGATATGCTTTTTTATTACCATTTTTTGTAATATTATAAATTTTAGCTAAAAGAACGAGTAATTTATGATTTCGTTACTTTAAGAGCTAGTGAAGGTTGAAGTAAGCACACCATGAATCTCGTTTTAATAGTATTACTTTGTAAGCAAATAAATCCCAACACCATATGCAACTCACGGTAATTAAGATAATAATTAATAAAAGTATATATCCTGATTTAAAAGTCACATCATTTACCGAATTTTATAGCTAGTAGTACATGAATAGTAACAGTGTGAATAATTCCTATGGGACATTATGAACTTTCATGTGATATAATAATTTTTCAAGAAATCATTGGTGGAAATTTAGAAAAAAATGTTTAAATAAAGGATATAAAAATGGAGGTCACTGTCTCGTGACGACGAAAGCGTCTGATGATTAGTAATGGGATGAGGAGGTGTAGAGTATATTAATGCGAACACTCGTCACACCGATCAAAGCTTAGTGATGACCTAATTACCATTTGTTATTTTAGTAATAAGGAAATACTTATACATTTTGTTTTGATGTATAAGCATTTGTCCATGTAACAACACTCATCAGAACTAACAATTTCTAAAAGTTATTTAAAACCCAAACATTAGTGCTTGGGAAGTATCAGCTCTTGTTCTCTATCATTTGAAATCACATAATTGTTCTGCTTTAATATAAGTGTCCTTTTGACTTTTTTTACACGAATTAAAAAAACAAACTAAATGGACCATTATGGTTTTACGAAGTTAAGTATTTTTATAAATTATTTTTTTATTAAATACATTTAAAACTGATTTTGAATTTTTTAAAAAACATTTTTTAAAACAGAAAAATGCTTCTAAAACGATACTTAAATTAAAACAAAGCTATATTATGACTCGTTTGCTCAATAATTGAAGATTTTGTATATTAATGGTCTATGGAAATGGATAGTTATCGCTTATCAGTAGCATATAGATAGGATTAGGTTTATAATTAGTCTATAGATTATTTATAAAATTTTGTTTTCTCTTCACTCGTCTTCTGAACTCCAAACTTCGAGGCTTAGTTGTTGGAGTTTCCGGAGTCATCGTATTTTGTCTCACTACTAATTATTGATTACTTAATTATCAATAAATATATAATTCAAGGGAAATAAATAGATTCATTTGGTATCAGGGCATCTTTACTTAAATTAGTCCTCCCACATACATAGTTAATTTGAATAATTTGGGTCATCACTCTCTTATTTTATCAATAAAAACTCATTTGAGGTCATTGATGATGCCATGATAATATTTAAAGTTCTTTTCAATGGTTTTTGAATCAAGAATCGGTCCATACATTTTATTTATTACTCCAAATTATACTATATTTAAAATAGAATTGTTATGAAAACGACCATTACGTTTTGAAAATTTTGCTTGCCATCTTCTACTAAACTAGATTGAATTTTCTCAACTACGATGAAATAATAATTGTGGTATGAGCAAATTTTGTGACAAAAAGTTGTCCATACACTCGTAGATCAATACTGGACCAAAACCATGATTATATATCTCAAAATAGAAGTTGTTTACACACATATGAAACCAAACCATAAGAGATATTGAAATTATGGTCCAACCTAGAAACACTTGCAAAATATACCAACCCATCCGGATTACTACAAATACAAGTTACTTCACACCCTACAGAGACCGAACTAAAAGCTCTTTGATCTCGCAGAAACACAAGCTTTCATAATTTAAAACATAAGATAAAAAACAAACAACGACACAAATTAAAGACTCTTTAAATTATGAGCTAATTAAAGGTCTTAGATGCTTCTTCCTGTTCACTTGAATTCCATGATCATGTTGTTCTCCGGAGCCAGCCCAACGCATGCCCTCATAATGTTCTCCAGCATAGCCCTCTGCTTCGACAGCGCGTTAACCACCGGGGTTCCCGGCGGCACAAGCGGTGCCTTGGTGAGGTAGCTGAGTATGGTGGCCACAGGATGGAAAGAGTGAAACTTGCCCTGTAAAAAAAAACGCGATTCAAAACATCAAAACCGCGATTCAATGAAAACAGAAAACCCAAAATAACCAGTGCTGTGAACTGACGAACCTCTCCCTCGGATTTGAACTGGATCCTGGTGCTGAGCTCCGCGAGGAGAACAAGATCCAAGATGATTGGAGCAGCTAAGAGAGAGTCCTCGCAGGTATTGTGGATCACAATTGTGTTCTTCCCTCCCATGAAGATCTCTGATGTGTACTCGTCCATCGCTCGCTTACTATCCGCAACATAGGGTACATACTGCAAAACAAACAAACAAATTGGATCAATGGGTATTGAAATCTGCCAACGGAAAAAGGTCTTGAGTGTCTGTCTGGTTCTCTCTTTACCTTGATGACAACAACATGGTCCGGGTGTTCCCCAGGCTCAAAGAGGATACCATTGCTAGCAACCATATCATCCACAACATTGCTTTTCGAGATCTCCTTAGATCTGAATGTCTGTGGAGCTGAGAGGTTCATCCCATCGTTGTTCCCCAAGTGATTGTAGCTCACAATTGAAGTAGGCTGCAAACAAAAACAACCAATCAATGAAACAAAAGTCTTTTGACAAATATCTTCCCTAACAAGAAAGAGTAACTTGATACTCAAGTTAAACAAACCTTGATTCCTGCACCAACAAGGAAATCAACCAAGACAGATTTCATCTTGGTTTGACCACTCTTGAAGTCATCTCCACCGATCAAAACATTGTTCTTGATCGCCATATCAATTAGACCTACAACAAATCCCCACAAAATTCAGTCAAAACAATCATGTTTCCCAATTTTGATTGATCGATGATTAAACTTTCAAGTATACGAAACCTGGAACAAAGGTGTTCTGAGGGCTTCCATTGATGAACGGGATCCCCTCAAGAACACAAGCAATCGCATAAAGCGTTGAAGGAGAGATCTCAGCCTCATCTCTGTCGACAGACTCCATGAGATTCTCCATTGTATCGTTCATCCCAACGACCACATTGCTATAACGCTCAGTGTTAGCCGTCCAGAGAACCACAACCTTATCCACCTGATTCTTCTCCTTAAACTCCCTAAGATTCAACATCACACACATACATAACATCAATAAACAGAGGTAATTCGATTCAACAAACAAGAATAACTCTGTTTAGTCACTAATTATGATTACCTCATGTCCTTGATGATGTGGTCCACTTGTTCCTTCTTGGTACCTTTGATCACGTGGTTAGCACGTGACCCTTGATTAGCAGCGATGAAATCAGGATCATAGATCCCAGGGAGTGGCACAATGTTCTCCATGTAAGGCCTGAGCTGTTTCTGCAAGTCGATATCAAGAACCCTGGCTCTAGCCATGGCATCTGCTAAGTTCATGTCACTTATATCCCATCCTCCAAACACAACATCATCCGGATTCACCTTTTTTTTTTTCCAACAACAATTCCAAAAATTAAAACACACTTTAAGAAAACAACTGTCTTTAGATTTGTTTTTTAAAACGAACCATTGGAAGGAGACTCTTGAAAGGAGCATAGATCTCTTCACCGTTAAAAGATCCGACACGAATCGATGATGCTTGAGTTAGTGAACCAAAGTAATTCGCTTGTTGCACTTTGTCCTTCGTTGCCCACGAGATTCCTCTGTTTTATTTATTCAATTTCCCGATTAAAACAAAAATCAAATTTTAATGTCAAGGATTTGATCAAAAAGACTCACTCTTTGTTCGCAATGACACCAGCAGTGAGAGTTGATCCATTGTTTCCTCCCCAACCCACAAGCATAACCCTTTCAAACAGAACAAATCAACATCAAAACGACGGAGAAATCGAGGAATTATGTTAAAAGATCGAAACTTTGTAAAGAGTGGTTTTACCCTAATTTGGGGACACGAATATCGGTTTTGAAATCGTATTTGACAGTCTTTGGCTTCACAATCCATTGGTAACTGCCATTGATGGTCTTCTCATGAACAACCTCCGTCGTCTCGTAATCGTACACAGAGTGAATCTCATTCTCTGTGTACTTCACGTTCGGGCTCTCAACTTTGAAGCTCTCAATGAACATTTTTCCCGAGAAAATTAGCAGAGGAAAAGAAAAAACTGTTATCTTTCTCGGAATTTGGATCGCTTTTGAGTGAGTTTTGTGCTTCTAATCAGCGGAGAAGTGGAAGTTTATATAGATGAGACAGTAAGGGAGATAGAGACACGTGGCGTCATTTCAGTGGTTGGTGGTCCCTATTTGCCCAATGCATGTGAGCTAGTGATGCTTCTGGTTCATAGTGAGCCACACGTGTGGGTCTCACACGTGAGAGGCCCGGAAGAGGAAAAAAATGTGACACGTCGGATATCTGGTCCATACACGTGGCGTCGTTTTGCTTTGATGATAGCAAAGTGTTTGGTTTTTTTTTTCATGGGTCCACATTTTTGTTGAAGATACTCGAAGAACGTTTCCGTTAATTTGGTGAAAAACGACAGTGTTTCGTAAATTATGGGACCGTTTGTTCCGTTACAGTTACGAAAAATATAGTGTTTCATCAGTTACGGAGGCAAGCGAGTGAACATCACGAAACACATTTAGCTGTTATATGGTCGAGGTAAGAATCACGTGTAGTGATGGCGCGTGAGATAGTTAATATCGACGTTGACGGTCGTTTGAAACAAAAGAACGACCGTTTAAAGACTTTTTTGTCGCCGTTTATAAGTGGGTCCTATGGAATCTTCTTGACTGGGGTTTGACACGTGAATTACTCTTTTATAATTACCCTTTTTTGATGTTATTAATTGATACTTGCAAAAATTAATTAGTCAAAGTGCCGATGATTTCAAGGTACCTATTTTTGTTGATTTGAGTTATTGATTTATCTTTGTACAATGTACACAATAAAAACAAATATTCTCTTCCTTTTTTATAAAGATTTATGTTTTAATTGTTTTTTACACATATCTAAGAAAATTTTAAAATACCTTAAATATATTAGTATTAACTATTAAGTAATGTATCATAAACAGCCATTGGAAAACACCTTCACACTTTTTCTACTGCTTTGGGTTCACATGTCTTTCATGTCTTAGATAGACGTTACTCGGAATACATTATTTATTTAATTGTGATTGGGCAATCTGTCATAAGGAAAATATCAGTTATATCTACTTTCAAATTTTAAAGTAATAAACAATTAATCTATATGAAACCAAATTTTAGTTTAAAACATTGATTATATCAAATCACCTTCACATTTTTTCTACTTGTTTGGTTCACGTGTCTTTCATGCCGTACCACATCACTTCTTTTAATTGTTCACTTAAAAACTGATATCTAAATAAAATATTACACATTAAATATCTGATTTATAACCCATTTTTTAATTTCTGTATCAATAAACTAAATTAATTTTATTTTTCGTATTTTAAATATTACAGTAAAAATCACAACAATGTGTAGGTGTTATTGTTTTGAATTATATAGTTTCCTTTCAGAAAGAGTTAGCAGTTTGAACATTTTAACACAAATTGAAAAGATAGAAACAGTTAAGAAATTTGTAAATTATTGTTCTATATATTCCAAGTAACACTAGTTTATAAGATGCCTAAAATATGTAATTTGATTTGCTTTTGCAACCCGGATTCTTTCATTTCTATTTCAATAATGATTAGTCATTTGAAAGCTTTAGATGAAAAGAAAATCCAACTTTTGCACATGCCTTGAAAATTATTCTAGACATCGGTCTTCCGATGAATCATTTAATTAGTAGACCAATATGAACTGATTTGTAATACAATATCTTTTTAAAATGTTGCATTATATTCAGTAATTCAGATTTGGGTGTGGCATGTTAAAAAGATCTCTTATTATCTGTTGAATTTATATACCGTTATTTATATCCTTCTCTTTTTATCTAATTGTGTGGTTAATTATGATGATTTATAAGCTAAGGTTAAACGTGTGATTTTGGCTCTCGTATCACATATATATTTCAGCAATGCTAGTTTTTGAAAAAATACATAAAGATATAGTGCTCTAGTCGACATAATAAGTTTCAAAAATAGAATCCAAAAATTCAATTAATAGAGAATGGAAAAAAATATATACAAAAAGGTTTTTGGAATGGCTTTGAAAAAGTTTGATAGGTATGGTTGTGGCCATACGTACGTTTGTAGATTGTTAATTTGTTTCCCTTTGTAAACTCTTTGTCTATGTTCCTCCACGCCACATACTCCTCTATATTTCACTTTCATGTGTAGGAAGTTTCCCGTACGATTAATTATGTCCAACTATTTCATTCTGAATTATTGAATTTTAAGTAAATGAAAAGAATTTTATCCAAAATTAAATCACAATCAAATAAAAATAATTGTTTTCAAAAACCATAAACAATACGACAAAAGACAAATACATCTAGCAGTTAATATAATTTTCTTTTTATTTTTTGTTCGTCCGCGATTTGAATAGATATTTATTATACATAGTTATAACAGTTTTATTAGAATATATAATTCAAATGCAACCATGTAAATTCTTTCCGGGCGGTGGAAGACTAGGGATATATCATTCTCTTCCTAATTAATAACATAGACATATTTTAACGGATAGTTGGTTTCCAATTTAAACGGAGTAAGAATTAAAATTTTGATCAAAAGATTATCAAAAATTAAATTAAAAATAAAATAAAAATGAATGATAGTTGACAAACTTTTACACTGTAATATTTAATTATATATTATGATCATGAGCTTATCCAAAATTAAATTCAAAAACAAATGATTAAATACGACAAAGATGATTAAAAAAACTATTACGTTGAAATATGAATAAGTCGTAGATAATACGACAAAAAGCAAACATCTCTAGCGGTTACTATGAATTTTTTTTTGTTGTTGTATGCGATCTAGTACAGTTTTTGGTTCCTAACGACATGGACATAGTTTGTTTTGCTTCATTTCGCATTAATAACGGACAATCTGTTTCCAATGACAATGGAATCAAGAGATAAAATATGAGTTGTAAAGTTGATCTAGCGTAAAAATCAAGATTATAAGTTGGTATAACTACAAAAAAGGATATTCTTCGTGGGGATTTTTATGTCTGTCAGATACGATAAACACGTGAGATTTCTAACCGTTATCATAAATATTTATCATTTGTTGAGTACTTCTACAATTTCTATAAACCTTAGATAATAGGTTAATAGTGTAATACAACAAAAGGCAAACATATCTAGGCGTTATTGTAATTTTCTTTTACTTTTTTCTGTCTGCGATCGGATTTGATATTTATTGTAATTAGTTATAACATTTGTATCAGTAGACTATAAGTATACATCAACCATATTGATACCAGACAAAATATTTCCAGTCTAAACGGAATCAGATGTAAAGTATGAGTTGTAAAGTAGTTTTAGTGTAAATTTTAAGATTATACTTTGGTATAACTACAAATTGAAAGATAATGTTTATCTAGCTTTTGTGTCCATCTAATACAATAAGTGTAATTTCTAGCCGTTATCATAAATATTTAACAATTATTGAATACTTCTACAATTTTCCATAAATGTGATGTATTCATAAAAGTTTGAGGTTAAAATTATATAAAAGGTTTTAGTGATTACAAACAAAATATAAATAATTATCTATTGAATTATTTGGTAATATAGTCAATGAATGTATACACAAATGTGCAATATATACAATTAAATTCATTCTTGCAATAATCATCAAAGCAAAGAATGAGAATGATTGATCAAGCTTTGGAGAGTTTGATTGCCTTGAGCTTTGCTTAGCAGATTCTTCACGTTCTGTGTTATCTGTATTGATTCAAACAAAAACACTTAAAACTAAAATAAAATAAAACCGCAATTTAAAATTTTTTTTTTTATAACTTGAATAGGAAAAAAAAAACAATTACCTTCCCGAGACTACCCTTCGAGTAAGGCATTGCCCTTTGGGCTATTTGGTAATTACTTCGACTTCTTGTCATGATCTTTGAAGAACTTTGCCATTTTCCTTCCAATTGATTGGGAAGTGTAGATTCCTGTATATTTATGGGAATATTACACAAATGAGTTAATTTGGTCTATATATATTTTTTTTATTTTTAAAATATAGAAATTTAAGAAATTGTTTTACGAGAATACGACATACCAAGAAAAGAACTGTTGCACAGTGCTTGAGGACCTCTAAATTCATTCTAACATCATCGAGACTCCTGCAATTATAGACATATGTATGTTATTTTATCTTAATAAAAGAGCGTAACATTAATAAGAACACACACACACAAGTATGATTATGTACCTGTGTTTTTGCACTCCAAGACCAAAATAGGCTGCCAAACTTGCCATCTACAACAACATAAACTTAATAAGCTTTTTAAATACACATATTTAATTAAATTTCAAAAAGACCTTCAATATACGTTTCATATTTAAAATCCTTAGATTTCTAATCAATTTCTAAACATGCTTACAAAGAATCTTGATATGATACCTTCATGTTACCAGCTCTTTTGCCAAACTTGTCACTTAATAACCCCAAAGAATCAATGATCCCTGAGGGTTCAGGGGCAGCTTTACCGATCTCAGCGAAAGCTTCTTTGATCCTAATGCAATCGAATCTTCTAATGTTATGACCTGCCCAAATCCGACCGTTCAACAAATCAAAGATCTTCTCAGCCACATCTTCAAAACTTGGTGCGTTTGTAACCTTAGCCCTTGTGATCCCATCAGACCTAGACGACCTTATTGAGACCACTGACAAGTCTTTAGGTTGTATAAGCGTTGTGAAGCTCTCTAGCTCCTCAAGTTTTCTTGGACATACGATGATCGCACCGAACTCTAGAATGTGAAAATGTTGCCCCACTTTATTCGGTACGGTTGTTTCTAGATCGAAGAAGACGATTTCGTTGGGAAATGTTTGGACCTCCATATCAGAATTTGGTTAATGTCGATTTGTTAATCCTATGAGTTGGTATGTGTATATATTGTGGATTTGGGGTATGGGTTTACTTGTAATACAAGTTAAGCGTAGGTTTGTGTTGGAGGGTTACTGTGGGGATTATTTAGCTTCGTGGAGAAAATTTTGCTCTGTTGGGTAAAGTAAGAATCTTTACTTTTCCTTTATCCAACCCAATAAAAAAGGGTTGTTAAACAAAGGAGTTCGTAGGTAGATTCATGTTGTAAGAGAATTGATTCCTTTCATATTGTTAAGAAGATATACAAGGAATCTGAAAGCTGAAAAGGAAAATTTCTCTCAAAAACTGGAAATATTCAAATTATTGATCCAGTCCTTATATGATCTCTGAACGGGAATATTCAACTCCAAATACTCAAAATACATGGCTTTAAATACTTGATTACTCAAAATCTCTGTGCATAGGAAGAGTTGAAAGAACACACATTCGTCATTAGTGGTTAACGGCAAGTGTAACAAAAAACGTTATAAGAAGATGAATATGACGAAAACGAATGCAGGAAAGTTACCAAGTGTTTGGGGGCAACAAACCATTTGCTAGCTTACAATATAAAACTACAACAAATTTGTAGTCGGTAATCGCATCAACAGAGACTCCAGCTGAGGCCAAACCCAGCAAGATCAAGATCTATGATTTGTTTCATTATAGATGACGGAAACTCTTTTGCTCATTACCTTAGCTTAGCTCAAAACCTGCAATTTTGAATGCTAGATGATCAATTTGGATACCTCGATGTATTGTTTCACGGGCTAAGAAGAATACAGTAAGCAATTTTAGTTTTTCCAATGGACATATATGAAACCAATACATAGAACATACTTCTCAGTTTAGGTGATTCACATGGATTATGAATAAAGCTAGAGACTATCATCTCTATTATCTACCTAAACAAATTGCTTCACGATTCTTACGACTTTGCAATTTATCGAAGTCATCATAGCATTACCAATCAGTTCTTAGCCATGCCAAAGCCTAGAAAAGGGAAAATTCAAGAATGGAAGAAGAACAGATACAATACCTCAAACTCTGGTACAAGATGAATCAAAGTCATCAGGAGCAACACGTGCAATCCAATTGTTCAACGTCCGCTTGACATCGGTGTGATTAACATAAGCCAACTCATACATACTACACAAGTTCACCACCAAGCTCTCGTTCAAAGCCGCGGTTGGCACTCTCTCCAATGCACTTTCCATCACCTTAATCGCATCCGATAGATCTCTCAGGTACATCAAACAAAGAGCCTTATTGTTGACAGCGATAATATCCGAGTTATCTCTTTCAATGCATTTGTCATACTCTCTCACAGCAGAAACATAGTCCTTTGCCACAACATGAACCAAAGCCTTATTCCTCCCCACAAGATTCTTGAACTGTATCTCATTCAATAACCCATTGCTCTTTCCTTCATTCAACATCTTCTCAACTCGATCAAACGTAGTTTTAGCTCCTTCTATATCACCAAACTGCATTTGAACAGAACCTAGTTTCGATATCAAAACCGGGTCTAACGGATCACGATTGATCAATTCCTTCATCAAATCCAAAGATACCCCAAATTCCTTGTGACCTAAATGAAACCCTAGCAAGCAATTCATCACAAAGGTTTCTCTTTTCTTCCACAATTCCACAGAATCATCTAAATTCTGAGATTCTTTCTCTCTAATTCGATCTCGAACAAAGTCAAGCAAAACATATAACCGATCTAACCCTTCCTGACGATTACCAAGCTTAGTCGGAATCAAAGCGTAGAGCCATCGTAAAGAGAAAGGAACCATCGACCCTCTCCGATTAGGGTAGATCTCAGGGAACGATTCGTACCTGTAATGCGTCCCGTCGAAATCGTGCAAAGAATTAAGCTCATGAGCAGCTTCATCGGAGCGACGAAGCTTCGCGAGAGCCATAACTTGGTAAGTGAGGTAAGTGAGATGCTCGTGAGGCTTTGTGAGGAGAAAGAGAGCTCTGGCTTGAGATATCTTCTCGAGGATCGCTTGCCATGAGCCACGGGTCGAAAGCTCGTGGAGCGAGCCGAGATCGTGGGTCAATTCGTCGAGCGAATTGAATCGTTCCGGTGGTAGATCGGCGACGGATGTGACTTGTGATGCGGCTAATTCGAATGTCGTCGCTTCAGGTCTAGCTTCGACGGAGTCTGAGTCCATGGCGGTTTGTACGGTGCCGGAATTGGTAGTGACGGTGGAATCAGTGGAGGAGGGATTGAATTCGGGTCGGGTTTCGGATTCGGGTAAATCCGGATCCATTGCTGGAGATGACTCCGTGAACATTGTCGAAGTAACCTGGTTTGGTCTTTGCGATTGGGTCTTTCAATGTTCAATAGATACCATTAAAGCAAAGATTATTTACAAAATTTTAGATTTTTTTATAAAACCATTTGATATTAATTTTATAATAATAAGTTGCATGATTTTGTGATAAAAGAAAGTATATGTTGCATACAAACGATTTAAACATTAAGCTAATACATTTCCATTTTTTATGATTCAAGCTAACCATAAGTTAAAATTTTGTCTGATTAATATTGTATCAATTATAGTTTGCTTTTGTATGTCAAACAAAATTTTCAGTTCTGATCGTATTTAATTTTCTCAAATCTAGAATTAAGCAACCTGGTTTGGTTTGATCTTTGCAATTTTTCAATAATAAAAACTTGCCACAAAAGCATTTGATATTGATTTATGGTAATCTGCTGCATACAAAATTACAAATGATATGATTATGTGCTAAAAGATATTTTGAATACAAATGATTTCAAATAAGATAAATACATTTCCAATTTTTTTATGGAAATTGTTTTAGTGTATAAAAAAGAAAATATGATTATTGGTCCAAAAAAGAAATGTGATCAAATATTGTATAAATATTTTACTTTTATATGTCAAATAAAGTTCTCATTTATGATCATATTAAAGTTCGTCAAATCTTGAACTGAAATATCACTAGATTTTTTAAAAAAACTTTTTTTACATTTTAAATTTGAATTCATAATATATTATTATAGTTAAAAAATATATATATCCAGCAGAGATACACTACTGATTAAAGTCTTATAAAAGAATGAAAGTCTATATATATATATATATATGCTTATGACTCAATTTCTTACAATATATGTAATTGGAGACTCGAACATCTATAATCTTCTTTGTGCTCACTTTCTCTTCCTCCCCCTCCCTCAACATTAGATAATGGCTAACGATAAGTCTTGTTGCATTAGGTTGAGGCTTGCCCTCAAAGAGCTTCCGCCCACGTGTGTTTTATTTTTCATCGTCTTGTGTATTTGGGTTTGGGGTGCTTATGTTCATATCTTAGATGTGACTCGGCCAAAAGTTACAATAGCTTCTATGAATTTTACTATAACAGAGATTCCTACTAGTGCGAAGTGGGATTTACTTATCAGAACTCCCCAAAATCTTCCTGGTTACTACATCTGTCTCGAAGGAGACCTTCAAGCTTTTTTAATTTACAAACATGTTGTCGTTGCTACTTCAGTCCCTCAGAGGTTACAATAACTTTTCTGTTAAGCCGATTTATCTTAGTTTGTTGTTTCTTTATTCTCAAAAGCAGATTTATTTAAGGAATTTATAAACTCTTCTGCTTATTGTTCAGGTACCAGAACCTCAAGCCCGGTTGGCCTCATTTGCTTAAGGTATCAGTGGTTGCTTCTGAAAAGGATATAAACGGTACAAATGAAAAAAACATTTTGGATGATATTGTAATTAAAGAGAGGGCTGAAGTGCGGTTTGGATTGCGGATGGTTTCTCCGGATTGCAGAGAAAAAACCACAGGAATAATGAGCTTTGCATGTGATGAAGTTGTCTTGCAGTTCGATTCGAGTTCACGGACGATGACGATGACGATGCCGACGTCTAAGAACCCAACATGCCTTTTATCATGATCCTAGTTCCTTTAAAAGTATGGAGATTGGACTGTACATGTGTTTGTTTTATAAGATTTTTGGTTGATTAATTTTTACTATCGGTTTTCAGTTTTTGTGTTTTAAGTTTATTTTGTATTTCATATTTCCTTTAATTTAAATAAATTATTTGAAAGCCTAAATTCTCTAGTTTAATAAACTATGAGAAAACATATCCTGGATTTAAAATTGTACATGCATTATATAATTGTTCTACACGTCTTTAGAAGTTCATTTGGATGCATTGATATTTTAATAATTGTCTAGGGATTAAATATGCAAAAAGAACCAGTTAGAAGCCAAACGCAAATATAATGAACTCTGAAACATCTGAATGACAGGCCAGTTGAATCAAAATTACATTTAAGAATAGACTAGTCGTTTTCAATTTTCAAACATGTGTCATATTTAATGAAGAAATGTCATTTTAGCGAACCGTAGACAAAGATGCAAAAGTTTACAGCCTGGCCAGTGCCCCTTACATGTGTGATCGGTTAAGGCATCTTATTTCTCAACCATTTTTTAGGGTAATACTTAACTGGTTTGATTTTCTTACACAAGTTGCTAACAACTGCTTACACAAGTTGCTAACAACTGTTTACACAAGTTGCTAACAACTGTAGGTGTCATCGATTATGCAATTTCGCATTTTCAAACACTGACAAACATTTTCGGCTAGAAACAAAAATGTGTAATATCGACTGTATTGTGCTTTTAACCTTTTGGCTAATGAATTGCTATGATTTTGCTAAACAACCGTAGGTAGCATTAATTATGCATTTCGCATTTTCAAACTTTGAATAAAACTTCCGAATACCAACGCGACACCAGATCGATCGATATAGTAGGCAGACGTTGGGTAAGTTCGAGCAAACAGTATATTCGAGAATACTATCAGGAGCTGAGCGCCTTGCAGTTTTATTCGAGCTCACACAAGAATGATGACTACGTCTAAGAATCCAACTTGAAAAGAAAAATGTTATGTGATGCAAATTCAAAATATTATTTAACTAATTTTCTTTCAAAATGACTATAAAAATACTCATATTAATTATCTATAGAGCTCGCTCTAAAAGAATACGAAATCAAATAAGTTGTAAATTAAATAGTAATTTGTTTTAGAGAAATTGTTGAGCAATTCTTGAGGAATTTCTGAGGAAAAAATATAATAGCTGTCACATAACTACATCAATTGGATGTTGAGGAATTTTTGATGATCAGTTTGAAGAGAACTTGGAAAGAAAAATATGTTATCTGATGCAAATTCAAAATATTATTTAACTAATGAAAAATATCCCACATGATGATTTTGTTATCAATGTTGAATTTTATATTTTAACGTGACTTCTTCGTGTAACGAAAGGAGTGACTTAACTATTTATTAAGTTGTTGACAAATGGTAATAAATACTACCTTGTTACATCATTGGGTTTTTTACTTAGATTTTTAATACAATGACAAAAATTAAGCTCTGACTTGGTCGGAAAAACGGTCTATATCCCCACGATAAGTATGACATCATAACAGATAGAGCCCAATCTATGACCACGATCCATATGTCCCCAAAAAAATACTTCTATCTCTATTTCTCCCTGAAACGAAAATTCAATATCTAAATCTCCTTGAATTAATAGTTATAGATCTATAAACCCACCAGACTTGGTTTTGTCGGTTTACTATTCACTTAACCGAATTTTCAAAAAACTAAACCCAATTATAACCAAAGAAAACCAGATTTTTTTTTTTGTCTTTCTTAAGAAAACCAGATTTCAAAAATTAAATAAATGATTTTTTTTAGTTTTCTTTTTATGGAAACACGTGGTTTTCTTCTTCCTCTTTTCTTCCTTCTTCTTTGCACTCCAATTTGTTTCACCATCTGCAAAATACGATTTGTGTTTTTGTAGATCCAAAATACAAATGATCAAACGTTCTCCTTTTAATTAAATTCATATATCTCAATCCAGTTATCCCAGATTTCACGCAAAGGAAGAAAAAAAACTAAAACGAGATCGAAATTAGACATTGTTGTTGAAGCGAGTGGAGATTGGAGATTGTTCTTCACTACAATAATGGTTCTTTTGTTAAACTCTTGTCTAATCTTGCGGCGTTGAGATTGGGTTTGTATGTCGTAATTAGATTGGAGATCTACATCTCTATAGATAACAATAAGGGGCGATTTGCGGTTGATTGGATTTTGAGAGATTGGAGATATTACATGGGTTTGAAGCAATCAAAATTTGGGTTTGAAACAAGAACTAAATCGAAGTAATCGAACATTGTTTTGCGTTTCTTGCTAGAGAGAGATTTGGGATTCATCAAAACAACCAATCTGAGATTGAGCGTAAACATTGCGACCCAATGTCCGGTACGGCACGGTGGTGACGGAGGAATCGAGCCGAATCCCGGCGAGGGGAGAGAGAGAGTATGGCGAGAAGCATTCCGGTGAGAAAGTCACACACATCCACCGTAGATATGCTTGGTTGGAGGTTCCATCGCCGGATTCTCCTTAATCCGCTTCTCGCTCCGCCGTTCGTTCCCACCAGGTAGTGTTTCGCTTCAACAAATTTATTATCTCCAACTTTGATTTGAGCAATCTCGTGGTAATTCTTGTTTCAATTCATACACAGAGATCATAGAAACATTTATTGGAAAAAAAAGAAAGATGAAGAAGAAGATGGGTCTCACTGTCTCACCATAAACATGAGAATCAAAAGAAGAAAAAAAAAAATTTCGGTCCAATTAGTTGTAATTGGTTTAAATTCGGTTTAATCCGGTTTAGTATTTTTGTTAGTTGGTTAAGTAAATAGCAGAATCGGTTTGAGTGGTTTTTTCTTGGGTTTGGTTTGTAAACCGATTAAATCCAGATTTATGGGGACATAGATGAAAACTATCAATTTGAGGAGATATAGATTGAGAAGTATTTTTTCGGGGACATATGGATCGTGGTCATAGATTGGGCTCTATCTGTTATGATGTCATACTTCTCGTGGAGAAATAGACCGTTTTTCCGACTTGGTCCAAGAGATTTTTTTTTTCAATTCTTACCATTGACCCTCATCGAAGACTTGACCAAAAGTCTATGTGGAAATGTGGAATGTACTGCAATAAGTTAGTCTTTTTAAGTAACTAAAGAATTTCAGACCAAAACCCATATTTTTTTTGGATAAGGGATATGATCATATGAACATGTTAATTATTTTATGTTGTAGGTATTTTCGAAATTTGTTTTTTATTAAAGGAGTGACTAACATTAACTAGCTAGTAAAGACTTGAGAGAACAATTATAATGCATGTAGTTTTTTTTATTACGGAAAAAGGAAAAGCAGTGCAGAAGCATCGAACATACTTGACTTTTATGATACAAAAAACACATGAGTACATAGAATCATATATTATACAATTTTACTTTGCTAACAAAAGTCGATGTATTATTTGAAATTATCATTAATCGTAGAAAAGTAAAACGCGTTTTCTCTCCAGTCGTTCTCCAAAAGAAAACTGATTTATTTGTAAACACATGACATGCAATGACCTGTACTCTGTATCTATGCTATGTATATATGTGTACACATGAATTGATAATACCAAGAATCTCGATCTTCGTTACATCTTTTTAAAATCAATCAGTGTTTGTTGAAAAAAGTTCCACACAAAAACCAATGATGAGACAAAAGAGATCATCAGACACAATCCATGTCTTCAATCTTATGGTCCTCTGTTTCATCGCTCTGTTTTCTTATTCCGTCCTTGGCCAGGGAAAGATCCGGAGATTCAAATGGGAAGTGAAGTACGAGTTCAAGTCACCGGATTGTTTCGAGAAGCTAGTAATAACAGTCAATGGTAAGTTTCCAGGTCCCACCATTAAAGCTCAACAAGGTGACACCATTGTTGTTGAGCTCAAGAATAGCTTCATGACTGAAAACGTCGCTGTCCATTGGCATGGAATCCGACAGGTACGTAATAGTCGACCATGTAAGATTTGAAATCAAAGCACTCGATGAATGACTGATTCAAAGATTGATTTATGTTTCAGATTGGGACTCCATGGTTCGATGGAGTAGAAGGTGTTACTCAGTGTCCAATTCTTCCTGGAGAAGTCTTCACTTACCAATTCGTCGTTGATAGGGTAAAGAATTATAACCGCATAAAAGTTTCAATCTTAGGTTTATGTATTTACGTTAAGTTTTGTGTTCTGTTTTTAAAATTTGTTTGTAGCCTGGTACATACATGTATCATTCACACTATGGGATGCAGAGAGAATCTGGATTAATCGGAATGATCCAAGTTTCTCCTCCGGTCACAGAGCCCGAACCGTTTACATACGATTATGACCGGAATGTTTTGTTAACAGATTGGTATCACAAAAGTATGTCAGAGAAAGCCACCGGTTTAGCATCAATACCCTTTAAGTGGGTCGGTGAGCCACAAGTGAGTTCTTTTTTTATATCTCAAACTCAGATTCTTGATTGATCGATCTTGAATTTATTTTAATGGATGATTCTGGTTTGGATATTATCAGTCGCTTTTGATACAAGGAAGAGGAAGATTCAACTGCTCAAACTACCTAACCACTCCTCCAAGCTTAGTCTCAGGAGTCTGTAACGCCTCAAACACTGATTGTTCACGTTTCGTCCTTACGGTGATTCCCGGAAAGACATACAGGCTTCGAATTGGTAGTTTGACGGCTCTCTCTGCTCTCAGTTTCCAAATCGAGGTACTTAGCTTGAGACTCAAGACAACCATTTTCATTGTCTTCTCTGTTTCTTTCTTTTCGTACACTAATGGAAGATGGGTCAACTTAAACGACAGGGACATAATTTGACGGTTGTTGAAGCAGACGGACACTACGTCGAACCATTCACGGTGAAGAATCTATTTATATACTCCGGCGAAACTTATTCCGTGCTTCTCAAGGCAGATCAAAACCCTAAACGAAACTATTGGATCACCACAAGCATAGTTAGTCGTCCAGCGACAACTCCACCGGCAATCGCCGTACTCAACTACTACCCGAATCACCCACGACGGCGTCCTCCCACGCCGGAATCCTCCAACCTCCTACCGGAATGGAACGACACGCGCTCCCGTCTTGAACAAAGCCTAGCAATCAAGGCACGTCGAGGATTTATTCACGCGCCGCCGGAGAATTCAGACAAAGTCATTGTGCTTTTGAATACACAAAACGAAGTCAACGGATACAGACGTTGGTCAGTCAACAACGTTTCCTATCACCACCCTAAAACGCCCTACCTAATCGCGTTAAAGCAAAACCTCACAAACGCGTTCGACTGGCGTTTCACGCCGCCGGAGAATTACGATTCACGAAATTATGATATTTTCGCGAGACCCATAAACGCTAACGCGACGACGAGCGATGGAATCTACAGATTGAGATTCAACTCAACCGTGGACGTGATTTTACAAAACGCGAATACGATGAACGCGAACAACAGTGAAACGCACCCGTGGCATTTACACGGTCATGATTTTTGGGTACTAGGGTATGGAGAAGGGAAGTTTAACGAGTCAGAGGATCCGAAAAGGTATAATCGGGTCGACCCGATAATGAAAAACACGGTTGCGGTTCAACCGTTTGGGTGGACGGCGTTGCGTTTTAGAGCGGATAATCCTGGCGTTTGGTCGTTTCACTGCCACATTGAATCGCATTTTTTCATGGGAATGGGGGTTGTGTTTGAGTCTGGGATTAATAAGGTTTCAAATTTACCTTCTTCTATAATGGGATGTGGACAGACTAAACGCTGATTATATTGTTTAATCAGATTCGTATAGAAAACATTTATTTTTAATCATTGAGACAAACATTTTTATTTAATGTAAGATATGTTAGAAAACAATGTGGATATTTTGCTATAATTTATGTGTCACAATTTAGCAATGGTTTGGTCTACCTACGTTATGAAAACTTGTTGTGATTGGACTGGGGTCAGATGGAGGGGTTCTTTTACTAATGGACCCAATTTAAGCCCATTTTAGTTTCTAGCACATGCTTAGCACATGGTCCTTATCACTCATTTTGAGCAAATGAAAAAAAAAAAAACAAAAGTATGATTTATATATATTCAAAAGTAAATTTTATTTTTAAAAATATATTATCTTTTCTCTAGATATTTCTGCCACTATTTACATAGGATCCAGCGATTTAGCGGACAAATAAATTAATGTCATGCAGAGTACCAGTTTTTTAAATGTCAGGATATTTAAACCATATAAGAATTATTTTTTAACAGAATAAGAAAAGAAGAAATAAAATATTTATTCGCAGTACGTAATTATAGGTTACATCAAGTATTCAATATTGTGTGCCAAAAAAGAGTCAATTATTATCAAACCCCTGTGAGTCCAAAGTCCACATTCACATTTTGGGATTTGTCCCGAGTTTTAGATCAAAGACCTTGGTCAAAGACTCAAAATTTCATTTACTAATATTATTATTCCTTTTAGATAAAAACTACTTTACCTATCGATTGATTACATTTCTTTCATAGTTTTTACTATATTTACTGTAATTATCAGCTATGACAGTTGAATTCGATTTATGACCTTCTCATGAATTTGTCACTTTACTTATCTAGGAAATTCGATTAATTATCTACAAAATTCCTAATTAAATTTGTCAGTTTCGATCGCACTATTACCTTGTCATGACTTTCGCTTTTTTTACTAAACTCATTAGTCAAAAAGTGATGGAGTCAAAAGTCGTTGATCGTTGACTTGGGATACATGGGCGAGAAAGTGTTAAGTGCCCAAACAAAAAGACAGCGACTCATTAGTCACTAAATCTTTATTACTACTATTTGTTTTCTAAAGCGTGTTTGTCATAGTAGCCTAAAGAATTAGATTTTTTAAATTAAACTTATAATATCCTCAAATTTGGATTTTTGGTATTATGGGATTTCAATTTTATGATATAGTCTTAATTCTAATACTTGCAGTAGTATGAGTGGAATACAAGCAATAGATTTAATTATTCTACACATTCGTCAAAGTCGAGTTAACAGTCAAATCTAACTTATAAATACGTGCCATGTGACTAACCTCCACACTCAAGTAATTTGATAATTGTTAAGTACATATTCATCACTAAGTAGTAAAATACTACTAATAAATTCACATTGAAGTAGTCCATATATAGTAACCAACTTGCAACTAGACAGTTATTAATAAACTTATAATTATTCAAATTACACAAGGATACAAACTAGTTTACTCCTATTAACTAAGCACATGAGCAAAAAACAATGAAAGCGCGTTGAGAAAGAACAGAAAATAAAAAAAAGTGTCGTTTTTTGGTCCTCCATGTGAGTGATCTGTGATCTCAACTTTCTCACTTTTGCATTAAATTCTTATCCTTTTTCTTTATTTCCTTTTCATGTTTGTATTTATTTTATTAATTTATCAGTAGTTTACATTATCATACATTCATACTATAGATTCGCTGAACACGTAAAAAAAAGAGAGACAAATTATTAAAACCAAAGTAACAAATACCATTTTCGCCATGTTGGATATGTACTTAGATCATTCGATCGAATTGAGTCCCATTTTAACGAGTTCGTTATCGGATCTATGTACTTTTTTATCATGGTAGCTGCATATACAAAACAAGACACAATATTAATCTAGAAATTAGCTAAAAATATAGTAGTAATCATATTTTAAGTGGAAAGATAGCCTCTTGTCTCTCGACAATGGGATCACCATTAAACCAAATCAGTTAGGAGTTGTGGGAGTAGTTATGATTAAATTCCTTTTGTTTTTTCACTTAAAAGTGTATGAAAATTTGGTTATACATACACAAAAATGTATTCCATATTTATTCATAAGAAAGCGACTTTTCTAATTTTAGATCTCGCAAATGATTGCTATTGTTTTTTACTACTACTCACGTACAATAAAAATTGCAAACATTTTTTTTTTACTTATTAGTATTACCCTACCAAATACGAACAATCACATAAATACAAAAAAATGCAGAATCATATAAAAAATTAGACAAGTAGCAGAGAATCTGTAACATGACGGTGAAGTTAAACATTAGTAATAGTACATTGATATTATCAATTAGTAAATTCTCTGGTCTCCATCTTCTCTCTTATCGTTCACACACACACAAACACTCATATATAAACACATATGCACACTGTCACTAATGCTTCTCTCTTTCCTCTCTCTCTTTCTCTTTTCCTATATATTGACAAGCTTGCGATCTCTCTTCGCAAGATCTGTCTGAAACAGTGAGGGGATTCCTAGGTTTCAGAGCAAAGTAATGTCTCCACTCAAGTACTTGTGTTTTAGAAAGGTACTCTTGTTGTTGCTCTATTCCAGTCTCTTCCTTTTCTCTTCTTCTTCTTTCTTTGCCTCGTCAGTTGATGATCATGAGCTACAACGAATAGATCCTCATTTTCGAGTGAGAAGATTGTTGGTGAAAGATCTGGATTCAACTGGTGATGATGATGAAACCAATCTTCCTCCTCCTCCTAAGAAGAAGAAGCTTATTACTGGCTCTGTTTCATCATCATCATCATCTGGTACTAAGAAGAATCAAACCAAGCTCATTAAACCAATCTCTTCTTCTTCCACCAAGAACCAAACTAAACTCGCCAAGACCTCCATGGGTACATCTCACAAACTTAACTCCACCAAATCTTCTTCTAACACAACCAAGACCAGCTCCGAGCTCAAGAAGCTCAATTCCGGAACAAAACCCACAAATTCCACAAAACCCATTACTTCTACAATCAAGAAATCAGCAGATCTGTCCAAATCAAGCTCACCCAAAAACAAAACCATCACAAAATCCAAACTTTCTTCCCCTCCTCCTTCAGAGAAGAAATCACTATCCTCAAAACCAGTGACCACCAAATCGAAACAACCGGAGAAAGAAATCAAACCATTCTGGCTCGACGACGAGGAAGACGAAGATTTCGTAAGCGAATTCAGAGATCTACCAACTAAATTCCAAAGATCCCTAATCCCAGACCTAGAACGAATCTCAACCACATCCAAAAACTACATCAACAAAGCCAACAAAGAGATCACCAAAAACTTCAAACCCTATTTCGGCAACAAATACGCACCAACCATAGCTTCCGTTGTCTCTTTCGTCTTCATCCTCGTCCCTCTACTCTTAGTCTCCCTCATTTTCAACAGATTCAAAGCTTATTTCTCCCTCCAGAAAATCCTAATCTTCATCCAAATCTACCTCTCGATCTACTTCTCAATCCTTTGCCTCTCATCGCTCGTCACAGGAATCGAACCACTCAAGTTCCTCTACGCAACATCGAGCTCAACATACGTTTGCTTGCAGATCCTGCAAACCCTAGGCTACGTCTTCTACCTCTTGCTTCTTCTCATGTACCTCGTTCTCGTCTTCTCTACGGATTGTGGTTTGGGCCTTAAAGTATTGGGCTTGGCGCAGACCTTCGTGGGCTTTGCTGTGGGTTTGCATTATTACGTGGCGGTGTTTCATAGGGTGGTGCTTCGTCAGCCTCCGAAGACGAACTGGAAGATACACGGTGTTTATGCCACGTGTTTTCTTCTGATTTGTCTGTTATCTAATGCTGAGAGGAGGAAGAAAGAGTACTTGGAAGAAAGCGGTGAGGAAGGGAAGAAAAATTGAATTTTTCTTTATTTTTCTCTGTCTTTGTATTTTTATATTTTAATTTTGATAATTCGGCAAAATTTAGCTGAGAAATGCAATAGAAGAACAATTACTGGTGGATGGTTGGAAACTTTTTTTTTTTTATATACTTCAATCTTCAATTGTATTTATAATAAATCGATAAATGTGGAATAAAATTTCATAATCTCATTACAATTGCTTATTTTTCCTTGTAAAGATTTACAAATAATGTTGTAAATAACTAAATATGTTATGGACGGCGAGAAGAAGTAAATGTCTTTTTGATAACCGCGAAAATTAAATGTTTCTGTTAGTAATAAAACAATAAAAAAACATGAGAATTGAGAAGTCAAAATTAAATAAGGAGGGGTCCACGGAATCGACGACTTTCGTGAGGAGGGGGCAGTTCGGTCATTTATAGAGTTACCGACGGAACTGGGTGCTGTTTTATGACTTGTGTCGGTGGATAGGCGATTGAGTGTGGACGTATGGTGAGAAAAAGGGTCTTTTGTGTCCTAACGTGTTGTTTTCTGGGCCACTCATTTCTCAAGCCCATCACCTCGCCTGATATTGTGCCGGAATGTTGTTTCAGCTTTATGACGTGTACCAACTATTTTACATATGTGTGAATTGTTTTGTTTTACATCATAAAAATAACATGGACAACTATCACGATGAAAGACATGTGTAAGTAAACTTATATTTTTGATTTGTCAATCTTTGACACTTAGAGACTCTGCACTTGTACAAAACGTTTCATCCAACTTTTGGCATCATGTATTCAATTGTGAATTCCAAAATTTTATTGTACGATGATAATTCACCAAATGGACCATATTAAAGACCCGTGAACAAAAATGCCCATAACAATGTTGTATTGGGTTTCATATCAATTTAAGGCCCATTTTTGTTTTGTATGCGGATGTGTTGGCCGAAAAGAGTGATGTAATATGTACTTCTCAGAAACAAAGGAAGACATCACAGTATCACACATTGATTTGTGTGCTTCAATCATGCGGTGTACAATTTGCACTTTTCCCACTTCACAAAATTCATTTCTTAAATATCATAAAACAAAAGTGTTGTCTTTATCAAATTAAACTCTTTTACTGAACAATCTTTTACAACCATTTTATTTCACATATCTGATGAATCAAGAATTCGTTCAAATTTCACATGTCCTTCTATATTATCGTTTGAATTCATTCAACTTTTTTTTTTTTTTTCCAAACATGAATAACAATACATGATTTTTATTGCTAATATGCCTATCATATTTAAGTTTACACACCAATCACAATTTCCTTAATTAGAAAAAACAAACTTACCAATGGAAGGATAGCCGTGTAGGTCCACAGGATTCGACACTTGTATACATATAGTACTATTGATATTCAAATTATACTTTAGGAAAAAAATCTGTGTATACATGATTTTAGTACAAAGTTTTCTTTTTTAAAAAGAAACAATTGATAGTTTGATACATTACCAACTAGGCTAAGATTATTATTATTTTTTAGTACAATGGGTGGCTAGAATTATTACCTGAGTAAAAAATAAGTTAAAATCGTGAAAATTATTGTTTTTGAAGTTACCAATCCAATTTAACAATATCTTCTAGTATTCGTAACGAAATCAAATAGATAACAACAGCATGGTATAAAAATAGAAGAAAAGATAAAAATGGCACGAGTGAATATATCTTGGCACGTGTAAAATCAGTGTCATCATCTTCTCCTCTTCCCAAGTTTCGGCTCTCACTTTCTCATTCTCTCTCTCTATCTCTCGATTTGGGGAGTTCCGTTACGGTGGACTAGTACGTCTCGTTGCCGTTGGTGTCTGAGTCGGAATTAATTCCTCGGCGTTGAGATTCACATGGTCTAGAATTCGAGCTTAGTTGGTGTTGTTGTTGTTACGATTTCCGATTTCTCGAGTTTATTTTTAGGTTGAAACTTAGCAAGGAAGGGAGATAGATTTAGCTTCTGTTTCAATTTATTTCTCCCGGAGACACTCTCATGCTGAGGTAATTCGTCATGGATTTGTTTAATTTGTATAAGCTTTTTTTTGCAATTGTCTAAGAATGAAGAATCTCTCGCTTTTATCGGTTTGTTTTGTTTTGTGCTTTCGATAAAACACCGAAGAGAAATGATTCGCGAATCTTTGATTCTGCTGTTTCTTATGTAATCAGGATCAACTTTAGTGGCTTCTTAAACAGTTTTTTTTTTTTTTTTTGTCTTTGTTGGGATTCTAATTACGCGTGTGAATCATTTTGATTATTTTTCTCCTTGATCCAAAAGTGTGAGAATCTAACTTGCATTAATTTCAATGGTTACAACTTCAACTTTTTATATTTTTCTTTGCTTTAGATTTGTTACATGTTGGTTGTTCTAATTTTCATAACCTTGGAGTTTGGTATCATTTCAGGTGTTTTGGACACTTGTTGCCAAGAAGAAACCAGTTTTGGTTCTGATTAATCGTTGGTTGGAGAATACTCAATTCCAGCCATGCCTTCACTCCAACTATTGCAGTTAACTGAGCGGGGTCGAGGTCTTGTAGCGTCAAGACGGTAAACCATTTCTTTGCTCTTCATTGTATTTTGATGGTAATTTTTTTGTTTATGTGGGCTCAGATTTCATCCTTCTCTGTTTAATTCTTTAGGAAATCTATACTGCTTGCGGCTGGGATTGTAGCTGCTGGTGGAACTGCTGTTTACCTGAAATCAAGGGTCAGCTCCCCAAGGCCTGATTCTTCGCGTCATTGCAATGGTCAGAGTGATGATGATGAGGCATTGGAAAAGCTGACAGGAAATGATAAAAATGCAAAGATAACCACGAAAAAGAAGAAAGGAGGAGGATTAAAGTCTCTTCAGGTTCTGACTGCTATTCTTCTGTCTAAGATGGGAAAAATGGGTGCCAGGGATCTTTTGGCACTAGTCGCCACAGTGGTATGCATTTCCTCCTAATACGTAAAACACATTGTTATGCTTTTGTTTTATGTTTTTGCCCAAGTCATATAGAATTTCTGTCTGGAGGATTAATAAAACTGTTTGATCTCGTGCTGTTGCAAAGTCCTGTAGATATTCATGGGAATGCCCAATTGCGAACGGTTGCTTCATTGTTATAGAATTCCTGGGGTCTCTATTATTTAGCTGGAAGACCAATCTAACTTTACGGCCAATAGTCGGGAAAAGTCTTAACTATTTTTCTTACTTGTGCGTACTCTTTCCAATCTGTTATTCTTCTATAAATTGCAGGTTTTCAGAACAGCTTTGAGCAATAGATTGGCAAAAGTGCAAGGTTTCCTTTTCCGTGCTGCTTTCTTAAGGCGTGCGCCACTGTTTCTACGACTAATCTCCGAGAATATTATGTTGTGTTTCATGCTATCGACGTTGCACTCTACATCAAAGTACATAACTGGGGCCTTGAGTTTGCGATTCAGAAAGATATTGACGAAGATTATCCATTCACATTATTTTGAGGTAGCAACTGCCATCTCTTCTGCCATTCAATTATTTACCATTTCTTTAGATAGTGTGTTTTTGACTAGTGTGCATATGGAGTATACTTCAGACTGCTGGATATCACTTCATTCAGTTTTAATTATTGTTTTCAGAATATGGTTTATTACAAAATATCACACGTGGATGGTCGGATAACGCACCCCGAGCAACGAATTGCCAGCGATGTACCAAGATTCTCATCAGAGTTAAGCGATCTTATACTGGATGATTTGACGGCGGTTACTGATGGAATTTTGTATGCATGGCGCCTGTGTTCATATGCTAGTCCAAAATACATCTTCTGGATACTGGTGATTCACGTTTAATCTTCCTTCTATGCTTTCAAGATTGACCTTATGTTGGACCATTTATGCTGCTTTGCCTTGTATCCATTCACAGTACAATTCTTTCGATCTGGTATTTATAAACTAACCTATGCAATTGCTGTGTAGGCCTATGTACTGGGGGCTGGGACGGCGATAAGGAACTTTTCTCCTTCTTTTGGGAAATTGATGTCCAAGGAACAGCAGTTAGAAGGGGAGTACCGGCAACTTCATTCACGCTTAAGGACTCATTCGGAAAGCATAGCATTCTATGGTGGGGAAACCAGGGAAGAATCTCATATACAACAAAAGTTCAAGAATCTTGTTAGCCATATGAGTCACGTGCTTCATGATCACTGGTGGTTTGGTATGATCCAAGATTTTCTGCTGAAGTATCTTGGTGCCACAGTTGCAGTTATTCTGATTATCGAACCATTCTTCTCTGGGCATCTAAGACCTGACGACTCGACCTTAGGAAGAGCCGAGATGCTAAGCAATATAAGATATCACACTAGTGTCATTATATCTCTCTTTCAGGCGTTGGGAACACTTTCTATAAGTTCCAGGCGGCTCAACCGACTCAGGTAATGCTTTATGTTGGATCTCATGTCAGACACTTTGGTGAACATTGTGTAGCTGTTTCTAATTATTGTAATGTTGATGCTTCCAACAGTGGTTATGCTGACCGTATCCACGAGTTGATGGCTGTCTCAAGAGAACTCAGTGGTGATGATAAATCATCTTTCCAGAGAAATAGAAGCAGAAATTACCTAAGTGAAGCTAATTATGTTGAGTTTTCCGATGTCAAGGTAGTTGGAACAGATTCATGTTACTGTAATCCCTTTCCAAAATGTCGTGTTCTTAATGTTACTTAATACACTTTAGGTTGTTACTCCAACCGGAAATGTTTTGGTGGAGGATCTCACCCTTCGAGTTGAGCAAGGGTCTAATCTTCTGATTACAGGTGAACGCTTTATATCTTGAACATAATATGACTATAAATTTCCCTTTTCATGGCTTCTTTTTTTTTTGCACAGTAAAGCGTATACCGCTACTATATTGTTCTATGATCCTTGAGATGAGTAGCAAAGATGAAAATCTCAGTACCCCTTGTTTTCCTTATGAAGGGAAAGAAAATGAAAAATGTAAATTTGAAATACTATTCTGAGAGAAGTAATTCTTCTTGTATTCTGGATGGGATAGCACTATAAACTTGTCAACATTAGATTTGGTATGCCTAGTTATAGACGAACCATTCATATCCAGTTCAACGACTAGGGTGTTGGTGGCAACACATCATCTTCTGGGGTTGATTTACTGGCCTATTTTTGGCTTCCTGGTTTTCATTTTTTGTTATAATAATTATG